GGGGCACTTTGGCCCCTGCCGCACGCGGGCGGCACCTCTCTTCGCCGATCGGCACACGCAGGAAACGAGAGAAAAGGAAACGCTGAGGCCAGGTAGCATCTATCGGCCATCACTGCGAAACCAAGAAGCAATCTTAAAAACTGATCAGAATACCTAATGAAGAAACTAACAAATGCCTTAGTCTACAGCAGCCTTGCATACAAAATAAAAGAAGGGCTAGCCGCACGGGTTTCTAAGAGAAGACCTTGGCCCTCGCTCTCAGAAGTTCAGACGTCAGTGATGCCGCTCCCAGCCTGCCATCTGCCATGGACACGGCGCAAAGTCGCTGGGTCGGTGGTTTGACACACACACACACACCGAAAAAACGACCGAAAAGACAAACTGCCACTTTTGCCCTTTTGACATAAGCCCATTTGGTGACAGACAGTGGGATGGACCAAGACCTGTCACAAAAAAGGCAATGACAAGGACCCACTCCAGAGCTGTACCGGTTCTTCTTTTGCTGGACGCATATCAAGCCCTCGAAATGAAGCGGTTGATCACCAATGTCCAAACCCATGTCACCAATGTTTGGCAGTCTTTGAAGCCTTAGGCCATTGCCCGAGGCCCTGCCTTTGTCAGACTTCAGAAGCGAGTAGGCCAGCCCCCTTCGCCAGACTTCTCGGCTGCTGTCCGTGTAGAAGCCTGGCAGCTGAAAGCAACCCTTTGGGCTAGTGTACCACAATGACTCTGGATATTTGTTGAAGTCTCAGAATACCACACATGAAGCCAGGTGAAAGAAACATTGAGATGGTCAGGGACTTTAGAGCCGATGTTCAACCTCTGCTGAGACATGCCAAGACGCGGATGCAGCAAGCCCCACCAGAGAAGTGTAGGGTAAGGTCTGCTTCGTTGCGGGTCTCGAAATGGATCCTTGCATCAAGCGCCACACGCGTTTCGACTCGAGCGCGGGCGGCTTCAACCACGAAGATTCATCTTGCTGGTGCTCAGGGAATGAGGAAATGATCCCTATTTAAAAAAAAAAAAAACAAAAAAAAATAATCCTATGGTTTCCTTTCACTAAGATAATCCCCTGGTTCATTCCCTCATTCCCTGCTGAGCACCGGCAAGTCATGTCCGAACTGACATTCACAAGTCCTGTCTTGGAACTGTCGGTGGATGACAAGGGTGCCCTCTTCAGCTTGGTGCAATCACAAATCAGCAGGAAAACCTCCCCCCTTTTACACGATCAATTTGGAAAAGGCAGCAGGCAGCGAGCTACCAAAAGCACGGACGAGGGCAAAATCAGTGGGGGGGGTGTTCCCTTGAAAACCAACCCAAGGCAGGTCCCCCGGAAAAAGAAGGCATGAAGAGTACCCCATGATTCATGAAGACCTGGCTGATTCGCAACTAGGGGGGTCCCCAGTTCAAAGGGGCCACTGTGGGGTATACAAGGGGGTGTCCAAAGCGGCCCAACCTGATAGAGACCACGAGCCCGAATGCAGAAACTGTGCAACCCCAAAGTTATTGCCAAAGACATCCCCAACAACATGACTAGAGAACAAAGCATGTTCAAAGAAAATGTCCAGAGCATGCCCAAAGACATCCCCGCAAGCGCCCCTAACTAACTCCAAAGTCCAAAGTCGTCCCCAAAGACCTTGAGAGACATGTCCAGAGACACGTTGAAAGACATGCCCAAAGTCGCTACCCCCAAGATATCTTTCAAGGCGTGCCCCGAAGATACCCGCAATGACAAACCTCAAAACAAAACAAAAAAGCCGCCAACGACATCCCCACTCACCATCCCCCCAATCACATTTACAAATACATCCCTGCTACCCCTACGTCAAGACAACCGCAAAGACAGCCGCAAAGACGTTGCAGGAGAATCCCCCAAAGACACCTGCCAAAGTCATCCCCGAAGACATCACCCAAGACAAGCGCAAAGGCATGCCCAAAAGCACTAAGAAATCCCCCCAAAGCCGTCACCCCAAAACCCCTTCCAAAGGCATTCCCAAAGTCATCCCCGAGGGCATGACATCCCCGGACTTCCTCCTGAGGTGTTCACCCACCCACCCACGCACGCCCAGGGCCACAGACACACAGACACACAGACACACAGACACACAGACACACAGACACACAGACACACACACACAGACACACAGACACACAGACACACAGACACACAGACACACAGACACACAGACACACAGACACACAGACACACAGACACACAGACACACAGACACACAGACACACAGACACACAGACACACAGACACACAGACACACAGAGACACAGAGACACAGAGACACAGAGACACAGAGACACAGAGACACAGAGACACAGAGACACAGAGACACAGAGACACAGAGACACACAGACACACAGACACACAGACACACAGACACAGAGACACAGACACACAGACACAGAGACAGACACAGACACACAGACACACAGACACACAGACACACAGAGACACAGAGACACAGAGACACAGAGACACAGAGACACAGAGACACAGAGACACAGAGACACAGAGACACAGAGACACAGAGACACAGAGACACAGAGACACAGAGACACAGAGACACAGAGAGACACAGAGACACAGAGACACAGAGACACAGAGACACAGAGACACAGAGACACAGAGACACAGACACAGAGACACAGAGACACAGAGACACAGAGACACAGAGACACAGAGACACAGAGACACAGAGACACAGAGACACAGAGACACAGAGACACAGAGACACAGGCACGCAGGCACGGAGGCACGCAGGCACGCAGGCACGCAGGCAGGCAGGCACGCAGGCAGGCACGCAGGCAGGCACGCAGGCAGGCACGCAGGCAGGCAGGCAGGCAGGCAGGCAGGCAGGCAGGCAGGCACGCAGGCACGCAGGCACGCAGGCACGCAGGCACGCAGGCACGCAGGCACGCAGGCACAGGCAGGCAGGCAGGCAAGCAGGCAGGCACGCAGGCAGGCACGCAGGCAGGGCAGGCAGGGCAGGCAGGGCAGGCAGGGCAGGCAGGGCAGGCAGGGCAGGCAGGGCAGGCAGGGCAGGCAGGGCAGGCAGGGCAGGCAGGGCAGGGCAGGCAGGGCAAGGCAGGGCAGGCAGGGCAGGCAGGGCAGGCAGGGCAGGCAGGGCAGGCAGGGCAGGCAGGGCAGGCAGGGCAGGCAGGGCAGCAGGGCAGGCAGGGCAGCAGAAAACCAGCAGAAGAGCAGGCAGGCAGGCAGGCAGGCAGGCAGGCAGGTAGGCAGGAAGGAAGGCAGGAAGGCAGGCAGGGAGGCAGGGAGGCAGGCAGGCAGGCAGGCAGGCAGGCAGGCAGGGAGGCAGGCAGGCAGGCAGGCAGGCAGGCAGGCAAGGCAGGCAGGCAGGCAGGCAGGCAGGCAGGCAGGCAGGCAGGCAGGCAGGCAGGCAGGCAGGCAGGCAGGCACGCAGGCACGCAGGCACGCAGGCACGCAGGCACGCAGGCACGCAGGCACGCAGGCACGCAGGCACGCAGGCACGCAGGCACGCAGGCACGCAGGCACGCAGGGCAGGCAGGCAGGCACGCAGGCACGCAGGCACGCAGGCAGCACGCAGGCAGGCAGGGCACGCAGGCACGCAGGCAGGCAGGCACGCAGGCACGCAGCAGCACGCAGGCACGCAGGCGCGCAGGGCAGGCAGGCACGCAGGCACGCAGGCACGCAGGCACGCAGGGCACGCAGGCACGCAGGCACAGGCAGGCACGCAGGCAGGCAGGCAGGCAGGCAGGCAGGGCAGGCAGGCAGGCAGGCAGGCAGGCACGCAGGCACGCAGGCACGCAGGCACGCAGGCACGCAGGCACGCAGGCACGCAGGCACGCAGGCACGCAGGCACGCAGGCACGCAGGCACGCAGGCACGCACGCACGCACGCAGGCACGCAGGCACGCAGGCACGCACGCAGGCACGCAGGCACGCAGGCGCGCAGGCACGCAGGCACGCAGGCAGGCACGCAGGCACGCACGCACGCACGCCCGCGCGCCGCGCGCGCGCGCCCGCCCCCCCGCCCCGCCCGCCCGCCCGCACCGCCCCCCGCCCGCCCGCCCGCCGCCCGCACGCACGCACACGCACGCACGCACGCACGCACACGCACGCACGCACACACCCACACACACACGCACGCCCCACACGCCCACACCCACACCACACGCCCCACACACGCCCACACGCCCACACGCGCCCCACACGCACGCCCACACGCCCACACGCCCACACGCCCACACGCCCACACGCCCACACGCCCACACGCCCACACGCCCACACGCCCACACGCCCACACGCCCACACGCCCACACGCCCACACGCCCACACGCCCACACGCCCACACGCCCACACGCCCACACGCCCACACGCCCACACGCCCACACGCCCACACGCCCACACGCCCACGCACACGCACACGCACACGCACACGCACACGCACACGCGCACGCACGCACACACGCACACACGCACACATACCAAAACTTTCCACGGGGGTGGTTCAGAAGTGCAATTTAAGCTTCTCCGAAGGAGGCAGCTTGTGCTTCTTGACCAGGCTCAGGACTGGCCTGCCGAGTCACGAGTCGGGCTGCTTGCCCCGAATCAGAACACCTTGTGCAACGGACCCCTGCCGGAGGGTTCAGGACTGGACCATCCCTACCAACACTTACCTCCGTTTGCTTAAGTCCCCTGGAAAAATAAACATGGTGCCCAATGCTTGCAGTGATGATAGATTCCCTTTGAAACCAACAGGGGGAAACAACATACTGAACAAAATATTTAGCAAATGGAAGCTTAATAAAGGATCCTTTTGACCACACATGAAGGTTTCAAAGCTCAACGTGAGAACAAAAAAGGCTGCCCCGTCTTTCCGCCCCCCTCCCCCCTCACAATCACAAAAGAGAAGCATGCGAAGGATTCCAACCAAACCGGGACACCTCCCCAACGAAAAGTGCCAAAGAGCCGTGCGTCACCCGCTGAAGCCGCGCCCTTTACGCCCCTCAGCGCACCCAGCGCCTCGCCGCATGGGGCTCCGGCAGCTTCTGAGTGCCGCAGATGCGCTCCAAGTGCCGCAGCGCCATCTCCTCCTGAGGAAGTTGGCCAACCACTGTTCGCAGATCCCTGCTAAAGGGAAGAACTTGTTGGTGAAATGGAAACCCAGCCACTAAACCAACTGAAAAGCTGATGGCTGAAAGCCATCAAGTGTCGGTTGATTTCCTGGAGATATTCCTGGAGTTTGTGTCTCATAGGCTTGTTTCCCAGAGGTGAACCCTCTCGGTGTCTTGCGATTGCTTGGTCAAGGCCATTGCCACCAAAGAGCGCCATATGTGTTTGGGGTCGCGCCCCAAGATGATCCAGGGTTCCCGGGATGAATCAAACATGGCGGTTGAAAACGAGGGCACTGGCTGAAAATCAGCATCCACCCCGGGAACCCCGTAAGAACCCGGTCAAAATTCCAGGGGTGCACCAGCCCTATGCACCGAGTTGTCTTTTGACCCTCGTGAAGCTACACCTTGGCAGCTGTTCGAGTGCCCGGCACCACCTCACAAAAAAAGGTTTGGTCTGGAGAGTGGGATCCGCCGCGGGGACCCAAACCAGTGAAAAGTCAGGTTGCAATTTACCCGAGGGAAGCCATGAGAATTCTGACAGGGACCGCCCTATATAATGTTTTTGTGCCGTTTCTTAGACGCAGGCGACGCTTCACCTGCACGTGGCCAAGCGGCCAAGCCACGAGCGTTGTTGATTGGGGCGATGCGGGGGCAAGAAACAATGCGGACACCAGCAGCGCACATGTGGGCTACCTGGCTTGTCCCTTAGCAGAAGCTCCACGTTCCCCCGTAGTCAATGAGGGCAGCAGGATGGCCCACATAAGCCACTGCGCCACAAACCGTGTCCTCTGTCGGTGGCGGAAGTTCTTCCTCTTCCTCCCCTTCATCAGCTGCTGCGTCATCCTGAAACACTGGCTGCTTCACAATCAAAACCCGGTGACATGCAATTTGGGCGCAGCGCCGAAAAAGGTCCGCATGCTGAGGGTGTTGTTGGACCAGTGACTCCAGGCCTCCAGATCTGCAGGTGTGAGGTCGTCGAAAATTGCCTCGGACGTCCGCGCGCAAAATACCCCGTCACCTAGCCAAGCCGAGGACAAACAAAGCGGAAGGCTTGGTGAAACTCCGTGGTTGCGTGATGAAATATCTAGTTGCTTGTGAAGTTCCGCAACCAAACAAATATGCAAAAACCTGAGACAACTGGAACAAAACTCCAAAACTATAGCTGGCACCCAAGGGTTGTGTGAAGTCACGCTCACTCGCCGCGTGGACGCGAATGGACTAAGCAAGTCGCCGAATCCAGCTGTGTCGGTGGTTGCCAGGCACCTTAGCGGCTCGAAATCAAAGCGCGTGACCACTTGGAATGGTGGATTGAAAGGTGCGTACTGAGCATGTACACAATGTACATATGGATATGTTTATTTATTTGTTATCATTATGTTTATTGTTATTCTTGTTATTATGATCCATCTATGTGCTGGCGCCACAGTCCCAAAATCAACATGCGGCCCTCTGCAAGGTCCAATTGCAGCCAAGAAGCTGGAAATGATGGTGAACTCCTTAGATCCGAGAGTCAATGCAATGATTCGGGTTGGGCGATTCAGCCATTGGTTAGCCACTGCTTCAACATCCTCCTTTTTGCCTTCTTCCATCCCTAAGGAATTGGACCAGCGGCTGTTGAAACTCTAAACCCTGATGGTTGAAACCGTGAAGCCAACCAACCCTCCCCGGCTCGTTCTCGAGACATGCTCCGAGTTGCCAACACCGTGGATGTGGTGAGCCTGAGACGACGAGTCAGTCTCTGCCATGCAGGAGAATAATCAAGCACCCCAAAATGATACCTCCAAAACCACCTGCTTTACAAGGGCGATTCCCTGAATCAGCGTGTAAAAGTGTTGTTTAAATTGGCCCGAACGCATTCTTGAAGTGCAAGTCACGATCGCCAAACGCGCTTGCATGCACGCGGCCAAACAACAAATGAAACGAATCCACCGGGATGCCGTCCAAGGTGCCCCGTGGTGTGCTTGAATCCCTGACATTTGAGTCGGAGGTTACAAGTAGCCGAGCTCTCTGAAGCATGCTGAACAGTTCAAGAGCTGTTGGGCTTGCTGGGTGCAGAAATTGTGTATCTTTGTGCCTCTGCCTTCAAAACTCCCTGTTATCTTGAGTGGGCCGTGAATGTCGTCCAAGCCGATTCTGCGGGTCTCGCATCTATGTCTTCTAACCGTTGGAACACCGACTGCCAACAGTTGGCTGCCTATGTCCAACCCATGTCTTTTATGGTGTCCGCCGCGTTGTCCCCCATCTGAGTTTGCCTCCAAGTAGGGAGGGGCCACAGCACGGGAGCCCACAAAATACATGGTCCTCGGGTGTCCCTTTAAAACAACTCCATAAATAGTACACACATGCGTGTCTTTTTTTTACTAATATATATATATATACATATACCAAAATGTGTACGTGTAAGTGTGCGTGTCTTCTGTGTATAAATATCTATATATATTTATATATACACACACATATATATGTGGTCAAGCCGTCTTTCCTGCTCTCTGCCCAGCTGCGCAAAGAGCCGGGGCGTGGGATCCGCCTTCTGCTCAGCCGCAAAGAGCCCCACCCTGGCGATGCATGCGGAGCTTCCGGGGGCGCGGGGGGAGCCGATGGTTTGGTTGGGTGGTTTCCTATTTTACTACCCAACCACCAAACCATCGGGGTTACGGACTGAGGCTTATCCAAGAACCAGAACATGGGTTACCCCCAATAAGTGGTTCCAACAACCAAACCAAGAACATGGGGTTACCCCAATCCACCAACTAAGGCTTGTCCAAGTTTCCCTCTTGATGGCTTGGTTTGGTTTAGATAGGGCTACCTTCGGGACCCATCTAGTTTGGATTCATACCTCCAAACTTGAGGCGTGGCATAAAACCTGTGGACAAACACCCCGGCCCTTGCTGGCCCCCGCAGCAACCAAGAGGATGTTGCAACAGCGGCTTCATGTAATCAAGGAATTGGTCCGGGTGGGCTTCATAGGGGGAATGTTACGATTCCTTCCCCTGGATGGGCATGGCTCATGCAAGGGCAATTGCAACCCGAACAAAATAAGAGCCCATTTTTGTTTGGGGGGTGGGCATGGCTTGGGAAACTTCTCTGTGGCCCAGCCTGGGTGCAGGGCCCATGGTCGCCACTGTCACCGCCAGCAGCTGCTCCTGTCGCTCAACCCGACCTGTCTGATCTCAGCGGTCCCGCCGATGGTCGGCCGCTTTTGGTTGGTCAATCCAAAGAAAACGTTGGAAAAGGGTCCACCAGGGCCTGCTCTTGCTTTTGTCCACGTTACTTGCTTCAGGCGCGTCCCTTTGCAAAACATGGACGAGGGAGAAACGAGAAACGAGAGAAATGTGAGCGCCGGTCGAAAGCATGGATGGGTCAAAGCACAGGATTCAGGATTCCCTTAAGGTGTCCCTTCCCACCGACTGTCCAATGAAAGTGGACAAAGAGCGTCCCACAAAAGTCTTCGTAAAACAAAAAGAAACAATCACAGTAAGATTTAAACTCGGACTCTTGATAATATAATTCTGTTTTAAAACCCTGTCAGCTTCCATTGGAAGGGTCAAGCAAGCAGTCGCCTCCTTGCTCTCGGAGACAATCCCTTCGCGAAAGCTGGTGTCCGCCAGCACGGGCGGGCCGACGTCAGAGCCCTGATTCGAGCGACCGGCATACCGGGAGCAGGGCTGTCAGGAAAACGGCCATGCTCAGGATCTCTTCAACACCCTTTGGCTTGCCATTCTTCAACACAAACGGCTATCTCACTTGCTGAGTGGATGGACCAAGAAAAGTCCACACTTTATATTTACCGCGAGAAGGTCTTCCCAAAAAGTTGAAAGTTCATGAATCTTAATAGGGCAACTTCTGGGTGTTTGGCGGACGTGAACCCCACCCGCCCGACGTCCACCCGCAGGGCCCCTCGGGCCCCCAGCCCACAGCGACGGAACGACTCCGGCCTTCGCGGCGTTGGCTCGAAGGCACTCCGCCACAGCATCGCGGCGGTCTGCTTGGTGGAAGAGGTAAACCTCACACCTGGAACCACAAAGAACAGGCGGGATAGGATGGGTGGGTGGGTGGACACGCATAACACAAGCTGACAACAACAACCTGGGTTTAGAAGTTGAACATGGCGCTGGATTGGAGAGATTCCAATTGGCGATTGAAATCCACAATCAGCTGCGCCCAAATGCCAGCAAGCTGCTGTATCTTATTGTCCTCTGCAGCGTCTGTCTCGTACAGCGTTTTGCCAGCACCCTTCCACTCCAAGGCCAAGATCCTGACACTGAATCAGCTACCCTCCCTCAGGTGACTCCATGGAAGCTCCCAGAACCCTTTGAGAAGAACACTTTCCTCTTAAGGGTACTCGATGGCTTCCACGGAATCGCCTAAGGGCAAATTGATCAAGTCTGTCTGTGATGCTCGAAGACCGCTGCCCCGAGACTTTGAGCAAAACGTTACCTGCAAGTTGCACTTGAGTGCCTGCAAGTGCCACATTGCATACAAGCTGCTGGTCGCCACAGCAGTGCCAAATGCGTACGAGTGTTGAGTACTCACGCTCCCAGATCACTTGCGGCTCTCTTGGAAAGAGAGTTTCCTCAGAGCCAGCAAGCACCAGAATAAAAGCGAGGGCCCCCCAAAAGGGCTCGTGAATCGTGAACCTTACAATAGGCTAAAATGGCACTTGCAAAGCAACAAACACATCTGGCCCGGGCGTTTCCAGCAGCCTGCCAAGTATCCATGTTGGGCTCCCACATGTCTCCCACGTCCCCCGCATATGCAGGCCGCTCACAGCTTGGCTCGAGTAGGTAGGCTTTGTAATTGGTAGCCACCTGGGAACAAAAGCTGGCCCCGCAAAACTGCAATCCAACTGTTACCGCATCCTGATGGAACATGAGGACAGGGTTGGGCCAACACCTAATTTAAGCGTGTTCAAACTCCTATTGCTTGGAGACTCCCCGTTTTAGAGATGGGGGGCAGGTGGTTTGAACCAACAAGTTTGCTTCACCCTGAGGAACCTTGCTGGACTGCCAGGATCCAAGCAACACATGCCAAGGCGCAAAGAGGCAAACCGCAAACTTCTTGGAGGTGGAGCGGTGCACATCTACGATCTCCATATGCAGCACCCTTTGGTCCTGGCCCACCCGCCATAGCCAGCTGAAAGCTGAATGGGGTCTTTGCCCCTGAGCGCTTCGGAGGGTTTGTGGGGGTTGTTGGGGGGCGTCACCTGGGCAGGTCCACCAGTTTGGGGCTTCGCATTGGTGTCTGTTGTTTAGGGACCCCCAAATAATGGTGTTTTCCTTTTGGCCTCCCTTTAAACCAACCGGGGCAAACAGGCTTGGCACGTGCAATCTGCACATTCCAGACGCACAATGGCCCTGGGAAAAAAATCGAGGCACAAGGATGTTGGCAATTGACTTTCCATGAAGCGCTTTCCACCGCAACCCACAGAACGTCCGGCTTCACTCACAAACATTCGCCTAGGTGGCACCCTCTGGCAGGTTAAACCCCAGGGTCTGGCTTTGATAACGCCCAGCCAAAGCGATCTTCAAATTCAAACGTCTAAGTCCGAAGCCTGAAGCGAGGGTTCCCCAAATTGACGCCCTTTTTTGGTGGAATCACGTGGAATCCCTCGCCACAGAAGATGCATGAACAAGCAAAAACACACGTCCAGAAATTTGTCTTTCGACAAAACAGTACATTGTGCAAACTGCACTGCCCGGTAACTGCCTCACATCCCGCCTGAGATTCCAGGTCGTACTCGGCCAAAAACTGCTCCACGAAGAGGGTGAAGCTGCCCAGGTTGAGGTTGTTCAGCAGCTCCCCCAAGAAGCTGGGCCGCACATTCTGCCTGAGCTTTCATTCGGTTCGGTTTGAATGTTGAGGGACGCCCATGGCCTTGGGCTTGGGGTGGAAACCCCGAAAGGTGGCAGAAGAAGACCTCAAGGCCCTTGGGTGTTTGAGGGTTTCAAGCGCCGCAAAGCCGATGCCAACGGCGCGAAGTGGCTGCTTCCGTTGCAAAACTGTGTCACTGTCTCGTTGCTCGGTGGGGAAAAACATGCAAAAGGTCCCAAACAGCTAAAGGTTGAGGACCCAAAACCGATCTCATACTTCAGCAACGTGTGGGTAGGTGTGAAAATTGAGGCCCTTATCAAGGTACAGACACACAAAAACATGATGATCATGATTTACTGAAACGAGGTGTAACACAAGATCCCACCAACATGCTGTGTGCGTTTTGCCACATATGGAGGCGCCCCCCATGGTTTGAGAAATCCAGGCTCCCGCATCGCCATGCGATTTGACGACCAGCGATGCCGAGCCACGAGAGGAAGACCTCCGCGACGCTGAAGACCTCCAGCACGTCGTAGCGATACTCCGCGCAGCGCACCAGGATCTGACTCAAGGCAGCCAGGGCCTGGTCCTCGGGTTTGCCAAACCGAGTTCCAGTTCGAAACACCCAAGACCCGTATTTCCGAATGCGTCCCGGGGGGGCGATTCGGAAACGCGTGAGGGTTGTACAACAAAAATGGGTACTCGATCTCCTCATTTGGATGATGCCTTGCTTTTTGCCGCAGGTACACATCCACCAAACTGGCTCAGTCGCTTTCAGGTTTGTAGGAAGCCCTTTGCGTATGATTGAACATAAAAGTCCACCCATGTCCGCTTGGGGCTGTTTCCAACTCATGGGTGTCCAAATTAGAAGCCCTTTTTTGGTAGCCAACCCATATTTCATAAACTGGTTGATTTGCAGATGGAACGGCAGCCCAAATCAGTGGTGAGAGGGGCCTTTTCACGGTGGACACCGGGAACGCTATGAATATTCACACATGGAACCCACGGAGGCCCATAAGGAAAACGACCCAAGAAGTTTCTCGGCTCTACGTGGGCCAAATCAAGCCATGGTTGAAATGTACCTAACAAAAAATGTGAAACCTGAAAATCGAGTCCCTAGCTTGGACAGTACATTTCAGATTCCATGCTGGCTGGGAGGGGTGGATGGGTTCAGTTAACCACCTCCCCGCCCGCAACCCCGCAAGTTTCATCAAGGCCGGGCATTGCCAAGGGAAGGAATGAGTGGCACAGTCCAGCAGAACCGCATTTCCGTCCAACACCTGGGCTGCGGAAATCCCGAAGTAAAGGACCGAGTCACATCTTACTGAGCTCGTTTTACTCTCAAAGTAGACAAATCAACGGAGCCCAAGCCCCAGTCCTTCATTCCCACACGAGTGTAGGCGTCCTTGACGAACCTGAGCTTCACAGCCCAAGCATTTGAACTGAAGAAGGTTCCGATAGACGGATACATCCACAAAACATGCTTAATGGGGGGGGGGTCCTCTAAATCAATATTAGCCACGACAAGGCGGGAAGTTGCCTGGTGCGAATGACCCATATTGGCATCACGGAAAGGGTTTAAGGCAGGGGTTGGGAGGCAGCCGCCGTTCCTTTCGCCCATTCGAATCTTTCGCACTAAGGGGATCCCCCCATCACAGACAGTGGCAGCCAAAAAGCCCAATTGCCGCAATGAGCCCCCCATACCCACAAACGCCTCGGTACCAATGTTTGGAGGTGCTTCAGAAAGTGCAGGATGTCCCTCTCGCTTTGGGGTGCAGCCCACGACTCACCCAGAAGCGGTTTACCTTTGCCCTCCCGACGAACGTGGATGGTCTTCAAGGGAACCCTAGTCAGCTTCCACGCTGGACGGAAGGGTAAGTACCCCACAAAACGCAGGTGGCAACAAACATCTCTTTACATATGTTGTTGACTGCCAGCAGTGTACATCGAACCTGCACCCCTTTGGTCCGCGTCTCCTTATGCAGCGCTGGCGGGGTTGATTCATATGGGGTCCCCCCCAAAAAAAATGGTCGGGTCGACCAAATGAAACTGGGCCGGGCAGCTCCTGGTGGAGGGTCTTGCCGCTGTCCAGCTGCAGCTCGTACTGCACCATGGCCACGAAGACCCGGATGGCTGCGGAAGGCACCAGCCAGTTCAGGATCTTCCTAAGAAAAAACTTCTCAGGCTCAAAGGCTGACTGTATGGAACCCTAGGCCCTCCAGTAGAGAGGTTAGAATAAGGGTACCCTCTTTTTCCGTAGTCGATTTTAGTAGGGGAGCCCTCCCCCAAAAAAGCGTAAGATGGCACTACCGGGAACCTAGAACCATATGTGAAACCCAGGGCCATGTTGCCCCCGAAACGGGGGCTGATTTCCCAGAATTGAGCCATGACTAACGGTTGCATACATGGGCATGTGCATGCAGCCTTTGACAGACCCCTGCAGGGTTCCCTACATGCCCGATAAAACATCACTCGGACTCGGCTTTGGGAAAGTGAGTTAATCGGGTCGCATGGAAACATGCCAACCCACCCCCCACAGCCAAGCCGCTCTATGCAAAACTTCTGGATGTCTGGCTGGCCCTCAGCGGCCAAGCACATAGTCATTATTTTAAAGTGCAGGCCTCATGCATCGGGGCGCACAAAGCTACATCACATTTGCAAGCCCAAAGCGAGCAGCTCCCCGGAAAGTGGATTCACATCCAAGCTAAAGCCTGATTTTTTTGGGGGGTATTGCTGCGGGGTTGAGATGCCCATCCACGAGAGGCCTACCTGCGGCAACGTCGCTCCGGTTGCAAAGGGGAAGCACAGGCAAGTCACCCATTTTCGCGCGACTTTCTCGGATCTTCTCAAAAATAATATTGAAGGCGTCCCTTCTTTTGACACACCATGTAGGGTCAAACCCAGAAAACCAGCCGTTGGCACCTTTGCGTGGTACGCGACCTTAGGCGCCCTCCAGCGGAGCTGGGGATCCGCGCGGGGAACTTGAGGTTCACCTTGGAGAGGCGCGGGGCCGCCGCCGCCATGGTGCCCACAAAGCCTGGAGTTTCGAGCCAGGGAAACTTCTGATCATAGAAACCAGGAGGTTCTATAGGAAACTGGCCAACCCACGAAGAACTTCTTGGAGGGTTCTGCCAACCTTTCATAACTCCTGTGGCACCTTGCTGAGGGAAAAGCAGCTTTCTGGACCTTTCCGCCATGCAGCATCCCACACACATGCTCACCCCATCACCACCTGCGTTTGGCCCCTCCCTTGCGGCCAAAAAGCGGGCGATCTCCACACTAAGCACCTCCTCCTTTGGCTCCAGCCTCTGGTCTTTGCTGAGCTTCAGCCTCGAGCGGTGTTGGTGCCTTGAAGCCACCCCTTTGTCGGGCGCAGGTTGGGCAACCCGGATATGTTCCCTGCCCATTGCTCGAGGACTTGCTTGAAACTGTGGGACTTTGCAGCCCTGAGACTTCCCTGTTCTGCGGATCTGGGACAAGGCTTCTTCCCGACCGCCCAAACCCTTCCCTGATTCAACTGATCGCCCCAGGCAAGGCCCAACAGTTCCGCTTCAGCGCTCCTGGGCACCCTCCAAGTGAGATTGGCTAGGAGAGCGATCGAAAAAGGCAGCGTGGCTGTGGCTCAAAAAAAGTGTGCCAAAATGGCACCTTTGTAAATGGAACCAAAGACTAGAACATGTGTAACCCGAGCTCTTAAATTTTGAGCCACACCCGTGTGGAGTTCTAAACAACTGCCACCGCCACCTCCCCTATCACGGAGGGTGGGCTAGATTAGCCTTGTCCCGCCGGAGGCGCCAGGAAACGGGACTAACATGGTGAAAGGGAATACTCATCCCTTGTCTCCGCCGAATCACCTTGCACCAACCGGTCAGTTGCCAAGACCCCCGTGAAAACCCCGCGCCAGGGCGCAGGAACAGCAAGGACTCCGCCAGCCTCTGGATGTACATCCTCAGACGCTTGCTTGCGCTTGCGTCGCCAAGATCTGAGAACCCGAGGCGTTGCTGGAGAAACATGGGCCTGGGTTTAAGTGGGGAAGCCTTGCACATGGCGCTTTGTGGCCAAAGTCCCAAAAAGTAGATGACACTGGTCCATGATTGAAAGTGCGCCTTTCAAAAATTATGACTAGCACAACTGTAAGACAATGTCAAGCGGCTGCATCTACTTATGGCTGGGACTGCACACTGACCTTCAACTACTCAGGTGTTGATTGTCAGGTAAACGTTTGCACCTTCTGCGAGCAAAGCTCGCCACCATGCTGAAGTGCTCCAGCTTGGGTGGATCTGCATCTCCTGCACACGTCTATCGTCTATCTACCCCAACCGCATTCCAGGAAAATGCGGAGAGGGTGCGGCTCTTCCTTCCATACATTACCTAGGACGAAATCCTGCACTTGGAGTAGACGAAACCTGCTAAATACTGGGATAAACTGATAAACCACCTGTACCAAACTGGCGCGAGGCGGATTTTGTCCAGGGATTTGTGGGACTCCATGACTCCAGGTGTTGGCTGATAAAATCCGATTCCAACAAGTTCTGACTGGCCGACTGGGCCGATTCGATTCGGACAGCGCGATGTCTCCGTCATCTGATAGGGACAACGCGCTGGACATGACCTCGGGAAGTGGACGGACAGGCACCCCCGTTTCAAGGCGGAGTAAGTCTTCCAATCGGAGCTGATGGAAATTCAGGGTCGTCCTCTTTATCTTCTTTGTTTGCATTCTTTTTGGGGCGGGGCTTTCTGCAAGGCAGTATTGACGCTACAAGACCGAGCAGCTGCAACCTGCAAGCATCTGAGAAGCAGCGTGTGCCCTGTCTGCACGTTCTTTCATTCTGTCTTTACTTATTTTTTTGTTTCATTCTGTCTTTACTTCTTTCTTTCTTTCTTTCTTTCTTTCTTTCTTTGTTTCTTTCTTTCTTTCGTTCTTTCTTTCTTTCTTTCTTTACTTCCTTTCTTTCTTTCGTTCTTTCTTTCTTTCTTTCTTTGTGTCTTTCTTTCTTTCTTTCTTTCTTTCTTTCTTTCTTTCTTTCTTTCTTTCTTTCTTTCTTTCTTTCTTTCTTTCTTTCTTTCTTTCTTCTTTCTGTCTTCATGTCTTTCTGTCTTTCTGTCTTTCTTTCTCTATCTCTTTCTTTCTTTCCGTCGTTCTGTCCTTCCGTCTTTCTGTCTTTCTATCTCTCTGTTTTTCTGTCTTTCTTTCTTTTCTTCTCTTGTTTACTTTCTGGTCTTTCTTTTCTTGTGTTCTTGCTCTCTCTCTCTCTCCTGCTGTCTCTCTCTCTCTCTCTTTCTCTTCCTTTCCCTCTCGCCCTCTCTCGCAGGCTTCACAAGAAACAAAACAAGCAGCGCAAAACGGGACTTGCAGATAAAGCACCCCCTCGATTTCCTCAAGTGAAACCAGCCAGCGGAAAAGAAGGTGCATGATGCCTGCATGATACTTCATTGTCCCTTCATATTGTTCCGGAGCATTGGATCCATCAAAACAAAGGCACCCTTTGGTGGACATCCTTTTACATTATGTGATCTGCTTGGGGGCTCCCTACCCCCGCCACCCCCCCTCCCAAGAAAAAAAACACTAAAAAACATCAATGGACAATTCCGGAGTTGAACCATCCAACGAGTTTCCTGGATTACCTTTGCTATGAGGGTACATAGGGAATACCCTCTCCGCAAAGCGCTCGTTTTAAAACTCGAGTACATTGCTATGGGTTTCTTGGATACGGAAAGTCCAAAGAGAAGCCCTCAGCTTCCAAGACTCTTACCGCATTTCGTGTGAACTTCGCAGCCCAAGTTTTTCCCGGGGTTTCGTCATATCCCTTGGATCGAGCGGCTCGTAGGAACTTGGCAGCCACATGGCAGGACAGGGCCGGCAGCCCCGCCACGAGCGCCAAGAGCTTGGCCAGGCATTCCTGACGATCCCCGAGCTCGGATTCGATTTGTTTGAGCCTTAAAAGGTGGCTGAATGGATGGTCAAGGGAACATGGGCAAAAATAGACGGTTTCCGGTGAGCTTGTATCAAATAAAAGAATTCGATGGTCTTTGTTGCGGTTGGAATTTCGGGCGCCCACATGGGTGGATGTTCGGCCCGTTTTTGGAGGCAACTTGCTCTTGAGAAAGGGGCCTGTGCACTTTCAGACAAGGGTTCATCTGGGTGACATCGAAAAGAGTAAGAAGAGTGGTGGTACGGGGGAGTTGTTTGGTTTGCTGGCTGTTGATGGGGACTGAAGAGGGATTGGGAATAAACCTAGGTTTTCTCCTTGCAGGAATCCAGAGTGGTTCGCCGCATACCCGACCTGAGAACCAGCTGCTTTGGTGCTTAGTTGCTTTGGTGCTTCGAGCTTTGGTGCTTCGGTGTGGGTTCTTCGTCTCTCTCAAAATTGAGGGGAGGGGGGCCTTCTTGTTGAACGGCGTCCCACCCCAAACCAAGGTACCAGAAGGGGGGGCCCCAAACCAGGCTAATTACCAAGCCTCCAAAAATCATGGGGGCTGGGGGGGAGGGAGGGGAGGGTTTTTTTCCAAATATGTCTTAAATAAGGGCTTATTAAGGGCTTGAGAAGGGCTCATTTGGGCTCCCTCCCCCCCAGCCCCCCCAACCCCACCCCACCCCCCCACGCCGTTTTTCGCCAGGCCGCCGGCCGCCGGAGCTCCTGGAGCATCATGCGCCGCAGGGCCGGCTGTGGAGGCAGCACCAGCAGCGCGTGCACCTTGGGAGCGCTCGCTTCTCGGTGCAAAGTAGGTGCGGCTTTTTTTGGAGGATACCCTTTTTGGGTGGGTTTCAACGGAAACCAAAGGGAAAACCACCATTTTGAGGGGTCCCCCGTTTTAAGACACACTCAAATGGGGAAACCCCTACTTCCAAGAAGACGTCATTCGTGGTGGGACGTAGGGGGAACTACGGCCACCCGGCAGACAAGGATGAAGGATTGACTTTGAACAAACGGCTTGCTCTTTGCTGCATATACGACCCACCTTGGGGGGTTGCGGCCCATTCGATGTGTTTTGTCATGTGCTTCTTGTGGCTTGTTTGGAGGACTCTTTGAGGGTGGAAAGGGAAGGGAAGGCGCCACTGGGAAATTGGTGCAGTGGCAGGCAGGTAGCTTGGGAAGGGATCGCAAAAAGGGGTTGAGCTTACGGTGCCCTGGGAGAGCTGACATGTCTGCAGGTTTACGGGGCTGGGTCAAGCACACGACATGCCAAGCAAAAAGAAACAGTGAACACAACCTCGTCAAGTAACAAAGTCGACTCATGCACCACAAATATCCCTCAGCCGCGCAGCTAGAACACAAACAAATGCAAAACCTGTATGCAAAGCAATAAACCAAGTGCAACAAACTAACTTCGGCATCCTATGGCTCACAATTATAATCCCAGTGCAAGGCTCATAAGACACACATGATGAGACGTAGTGGTGGCGCTCGACTTCTGCTGTCAACTGACTGCGGGGCGTTTCTCGATTGCGAACTGCGCAAGAACATCCCACCCAGAGCAAACGCATACTTTGCAGTATAGAGAAAGTCTGGTGCATCCAAAGTGCAATGCGCAAGTATGCCGCCGCGGCAAAGACCAGATTGGTTTGGCCTGGCCATAAAGTCATTAGGTAAAAATGGCTGCTATGTTTGGCATCAATTCCTCTCTTGACGTCTGCTGCACACACACACACACACACGGAAGTCCGCGGTGTTCCGCAAAAAAAGAAGAAGAAGCAAAAATGACTGGAAATCCAAGGTTAACCGTTTTTGTGACCTTGACTCTTGACTAAATATGGACCCAAACGGAAAACTGAACGTGGGTGGAAGGGTGCCATCGGCCGGAGCCCGGCCTTTCTTCAGGTCGTGGAAGACCTCCTGGCAAGAAGCTTCGGAAGCAAGTGTCGGGAACGAAGCGTCAGGGATCCCTGAATCAATTTATTATTGCAACATGAGCTTCGAAGAATCTACATGCATAAAGAAATCTGGAAGTGCATGTACATATATATATATATATTATGCCCGTGTGTGTGTGTCCAATATACAGAGTATATCCTAACTCGAAACTCACTCCAGAAGGTAAGTCACTTTAAGTTGGCCCTGGCAAGCGCCAGAGAAATACCTCCGACCCAAGTAGCGCCAAGTACCGTCGTTTCCGCCTCGCCTCGTCCCACGCGAGACTGTCGGGTCGGAGGGCGAAAAGGGCGCTCTGGTCATCCTCCAGCTCCTCCTGTGCGGAAATGGGACCGGAATTGGTTTCGTTGAAAGGGACACCAAAAATGGGTGTGAATTTTGATCAGGGACACTAAATTGGTGTGATGTTTTTTTTTTTTTTTAAATTATTAGGGACACCACATGGGTGTGAATTTTGATTGGGGATGGAACATCATTTGCAATGGGGGTTCAGGTCCACCAACCACTTAAGAGGTGAAATCCCGTTCCATGATGATTTGCATCGATCCTCTTCCCGCTGCATGGCAATCATGAGGACCTCTCTCCCTGCAGATTTGTGGTACTCGTTCTCATCGTCCTCTCCCCTCACAGTGGATGGACCAAATCGATGGCAGGCACCAGTCTAAGTGTGGTTTATCCGAGTGGAGGGCTTCATGCATCGCGACTGGTGGAACAGTTGTCCATCCGCATTGGCTTAGAGGCAAGAATCAGCAACACGACTTGGCACAAAGGCAACGTGCACAACACGTATACTCGCATATATATATATATGTGTGTGTGTGTGTGTGTGCGTAGAGATGGCAAAGGTTTTATCTGGACTTCTCATTGCAGCCGGGCATAGGCCTAGTTGTGCGGTGCGTGCATGCGTGCATGTGCGTACCAAAGATCCCCTATGACTACTTCATCACTTTTGAGAGAGATTTGTATATATATATATATATATGTGTGTGTGTGTGTCGTTTGATAAAACCAAAAAAATAGGCCTAGAGCCTAGTGTTCCAAAGATCACCCCACCAGAAGGACACTCGCTTCAAACAAGAGCAAAGATGGGGATTCCTGCTTGGTGTGACCCTGCAAATGCCGTTCATTTTAGAAAATGCCAACTTCGGTTTAGACCAGCAACCTCACCCCCCACCCCACCCCACCAGCTACCCCAGGGTCCCACGGCACCATCCAAGCCACATGGCCACCTGCTGCGCCTCCTCCTCGCCCCAGGCCTGCGTCGTGAGCTGGTCTTGAGCAAGCCCAGAGGCCAAGGCATCCGCAAAGGCATGCTGCTTTCTCTATAACGTTAACCCCGGATTAATAAATTCCTGGTTGATTCATCCCTTTTGGAGGGAACACCTCCCTAATAATGGGACGGGTTTATTTATCCTGGGTCAACATTAAGTTGTTCCTCACTGCATTCTGCTTCTGAGGAGGTTTCTCCACAAAGTTCCTCACTCCCCGGTTCTGTTTTCTGAGGACTGTTTGGTCCTGGGCCAGTGGCGCACAGCTTAGCTTTCTTCTTTGCTGCTGCACGGTTGTGTCAAAATCGTGGTCAGCCAAGTCCGAAAGTTGATCCTCGACCAGGATCTCTTTAGACTAAGGGGGCCGAAGGTACTAAAATGGGGAGTCAGTTTCCTGTCCTCCAACCCCCCACCCCACCCCCGGCAGCCCCTTTCAACTCTTCCAAGCCGCCCCACCTGGCATCCTGTTTTGGACGATTTCAAGGCAGACATTGTACCCATCGCCAAAAGTGAGGAGAAAAGTTGAAAAACGACCACCCTGGTCGTTTCTAACCCCCCCCCCCAAAAAAAAAAAAAAAAAAAAACACAAGCCGCATCCCAAACTCGGCCTTTTCCGCGCGAGTGCCCATCGAGTGCCCGTCGAGCGACCGGGCGCCTGGCTCCGCTCCGCCAGCTCCGTCTTCAGGGCCTCCGCCTCCAGCAAGATCACGTCCGGGCGCTCCGAGACCTCCGGTCAAGAGACGCCGAGTCGCTCGGGCGGTGGGGGGGGCGGTTTGGGGGGGCGGTTGGGGGGTTGGGCCGGCCTGGAGAGGGAGAGGGAAAACAGGGCCATGACACCTTGTTCGCGGCAAAGGCGAAACAAGAAGGCGGGGCGGGGCCCTTCTGAAATGGTGTGAAAAGGCAAACCGAATACAAAGCCGACCACGGCCCCCACCCCCCTCTTGGATGGTTTCAAAAACATGAGCGAGTACAAAGCAGGGAAGCAAATAAACAGCCATGGGGGGTCCCCCGCCTCGAAAGGAAACCCAACACCAAACCATTCACACAACACAACGAGACAAGGAAACTGAAACATCAGACGAACCATGGACACTCCTTGCGGATGGCCTTCAAAGAGAAACCGGAGCAAAACCAACCGAGGACCCCAATTTGGACGGCCTTCAAACCACCCTTCAGATGGTCTCAACGAATCCCGGCCACCAACACCCTTGTATCGCCTGGGGACGCCAATGCAAAAACCACCTTGGAGCCCTGCTAAAAGAAAGCAGCTGCAAACCAAGCACACAGCCGGAGATGGCCTGCAGAGTGCAACCAACACAAACAACGGTTTGGTCATCTTGTGAGAAGGTGTTTTTTTTGTAGATAGCGCTGCTTTGCCATTGTGCCGGGGCCTAGGGCTGGCCGCCAAACTGCGCAGGAAAGAAAAAGCCACCCTTGGACTTACACCAAGGGTACAAATCGGCTTCCTGGGTGGGCATGGCATACAAGCGTGTTAGCATCGGTCTTTCGGTAAGCCTCGCGTGAAAACCCCACAAGTCAGAAAGCCCCCAGTTTCCAAACGGGGTGTCTGATCACGTTTGGTTACTGCCGCGCCGCGTGCGCTGCATCCGCAATGAAGCCCCCCAGCGAATGCAACAACGAAACTGACAAGCACATAGGCAGAAGAACCTAAACAGCCAAGCATGCTTCTTTTATGTTCATGACTTCTGCTTCTGCTGGGTCTAAAATGCCCACAACCCCACTCGTTGTTTTGGGGCGCTTGCACGGGAAAAGACCAGCGTGGGCGTCATGGCCACAGCTCCAGTCAAGTCATAGGCACAAATGACAGTGTCTTTTTCCCGGAAAAAAAGAACGCTCTTGCTTTTGAGGGGAGGCCAAAAGGGAAGTTACCGTTCTGGAGGGTCCCGAGTCCTATGTCGAGACCCGAAAAATAGGTCTTTCGGTGGCACGTGGTGCCTTGCCGTACTGGTCCAGGTAGTACTCCTCCCGCTCCTTGGCGGCCAAGTCCAGCAAGAACTCCTGCACAGTTTGTGCACGTTTTTGGGGAAGCCCCCTCACAAACCAGTGAGTCGTTTGTGGAGGGGTGACTCAAAATTCCCACGTCCCGAGACATCTGCAGACTCGGAAACTGGATGTTCGGCTCTTTTAAACAGGAAACCTGCCGTTTTGGAAGGCCCCCATTCGCGGATGCAGAAATCTACTGGCAAAAAAGAAAACCTTATCCGAGCGGCGACCGAAACAATCCGTCGGCTTTCTGGTGGATCTTTCAGCTTGGTTCGGTCCGTTGATAGTTGACCTGGCAGCCAGACGCGTTGTCAGACGTGGGCGTACGCTCATATGCTGAAGGTAAGTAAGCGTGGAGTCGCGGAGTCGTCCCCCTTGAGTAAGACATGTTTAACTTTAGACGACCGAACTCCGGACTCCGAGAAAAAAAAAAAAAAAAAAAAAACCTTGGCGTTGCCCTCCTGTAGGCGCCCAGGCCCGCCGGCGCCCACAAAGTTCGACGCCTGGGCGATGCGGTCGTCCCACTCCTGGCCGGAAGATGCCGGAAGGGGTTCTCCAAACGCCACTCTAAGGGAACCTGACAGCAGCCTCCCTCTGATTGGTGGTTTGGATTGGTGGTTTGGGGTTAGGGGTTAGCCTCCTATCTACGCTCAAGAAGCAGGGGTTCAAATCTCCAAACCACCAATCCAGACCACCATTTAAGGGAAACCTGATTATGGGAAAGGCACGAGGAACAAAACATGCATGCAAACCTTTGAGAACTCCTTCGCGACTCTCTAAGTTGTTCCATCACCGCCCCAGATCGGGTCCAAACTGCGTGATCTTAAGAGCATGGTTTTTTACAACCACTGATGGTGGAGAAAATGCCATGCATCTTTGACTTCTGAAATTCTGAAACGCGAAACTGGGCGGGCCCCACAAATTGCGTGCTCCCCTTTGCAGATTCCATTCCAACCACGGTGGAGAAGGCAAACTAGAAAGCACAAGCCACGGAAAGAACACCCACACCATCCCCGCGAGTCCTGGTTGTCCAGAAATCTCTGGCCCTTCTTCACCGCGCGCAGGTCCCACATCTTCGCCTCGAAGCGATGCACAGGATTACCCATTGACGCACTGCGGACGGTTGGGCGCGTGGTTTCAGAATTCTTGAAAAGAATCCGTGTGATCAAGATGAGTCAATATGAGGGCATCTCCAAGTAGCAGTTGGTCCCTGTTTGTTTAGTCTCAAGAACGCTTGGATCCTTTTGGTTTTCCCCCACATGAGAAAGCCATGCCTCTGCACCCACGAGCTCCTGCAGGCTCAGCATCTTGCGCCGCCGGCCGTGGTAAGATGACCTGCCTGCGACAGAAGACGTCAGCAGTCGCGCCGTGCGCTGGATCCAAACCCAACGGATGCACAGTGCAACTCCACAAGGGGTCCGGGCTCCCTCTTAAACATAAGGAAAAACAGCTATTTTAATGCTCATTCAAAACGTGAATCGCCCTTCTGAATTAAGGCTCAGTAGTTTTGAAGCAAAGTACTCAAATGATCGCGAGCTCCCATCAATCGGTTGTTCTGCGACCCTCACTCGAGGCCACGAGATCCAACAAGTAGCTGGGGGATCCGCAAGCTGCAACCCAGGCCAACGCACGCCGGTCCCCCTTTACAACAGTCGGCTCATCGCATTCAAAGCTCGGAAAGCAAGAACCAGCCGAACCGATAATTGAATCCATCGACAATCAAAATTATAAGAGCAAAATCAAAAAAGAATGCGAACATGCGCCCCCCCACCCCAGCTGGAGCCTTCCAAGACATTTCCCATCTGGCACAGAACTCGGATTGCCACCTCAGTGCCCGATGGTTGCTGCAATGCAGGACCCATCGATGCAGCACTCAGTGCAAATCCACAGGCCGGCCTTCTTGTTGCGGAAGAGTTGCCGCCCTCCTTGGAAGCACCTGGGACACAAACAATGTAACCAACCAACCAACCAACCCACCAACCAACCAACAGACCGACAGACAGACAGACAGACACAAGGACACAAGGACACAAGGACACAAGGACACAAGGACACAAGGACACAAGGACACAAGGACACAAGGACACAAGGACACAAGGACACAAGGACACAAGAACACAAGGACACAAGGACACAAGGACACAAGGACAAACAAAGAAACAAACAAACAAACAAACAAACAAACAAACTAATAACAAACAAACAAACAAACAAACAAACAAACAAACAAGCAAGCAAGCAAGCAAGCAAGCAAGCAGACAAACAAACAGTCGAACAAACCAACCAACAAACCAACCAAGCAAGCAAGCAAAGAAACAAACAAACAAGCAAGCAAACAAACAAAGAATCGAAGCAACCAACCAACCAACCAACCAACCAACCGACCGACCGACCGACCGAGCGAGCGAGCGAGCGAGCGAGCGAACGAACGAACGAAAGAACGAACACACAATGCACACACATTAAAATGCACGCGCACACACACACACACACCTGAAATGCCAACAAGAGCTCTCTGACAGCAGCAAATTGCCAGCATCTACTACCAGCACGTGTCAATCTGAGCCGTGGCGTTTGCTTCAGCTGTCCCGATTATCTGCGCGAAGCCAAGTGGCTGCAGAAGATTTTCCAGAGACCGGCCCATCCAGGTCTGCTCCAAGGAGACATCTTCGGCCAAGGGGGAGTGAAGCTCCTGCCGCAAGTTGAGTTGTTAGCCAATAGTTGAGGCTTGGCCCTAAATGGTCTTCAAATCACCCCAAAAGGAACATATAGGACCCAATGAACGCAACGACAAATGAATCTTACATATTTGGGCGGGGGGTCTGAAAATATGAGCCTTTTGCCCCGAATAAAACCCTAGTTGTAAACATGGACGATTTAACCCCCCTGCAGTCCATATCCTGGTTTAATTTTGACCCCCCCAAAAAAACACATCACCGATTCATTGCAGCAAATGGAAAAGGTCTACCTCTCTTTCGCGTCTTCGGACCGGAGATGTTCACGCCGGGGCCTCCTCAAGCTTCATGATCCGCGGGAAGAGGGCGTCGATGGTGGGGTTCCTGTGCGATTCGAATCGCGGCGGGGTCCGGCGGAAGCTGCGGCGAGCCAAACCGTCTGGAAAATAGGCGGCGGCTGATTTTTCTTCTTTTCCGGGCCCTGTCAACCTTGAAAAGGGGGGGGGATGTGCAGTTTCAATGGAAATCCGCCCGAAAAACAAAAGAAAAGAAAACAAGCAAGCCCATGGTGGCAACGGGGGGGGGGGGGTTGGGGGGGGGTCGGGGTCCCTATTTGCAAGAACATACCCCGCACCCCCGCACGGCGCCCGCGACTCTCGGGATGTCGCCTGAGGCAGCTCCGTAAGGAGTGGATGCCGCTGCAGTTGAAGTAGAAACCTCACACATCGAGGAACCGAGGGCCGCCACACCCCAGCAAAAACCAAGGGAACAAAAAAAACAGAAAGCCCCCCATTGTTTAGAAAAGAAACTCCTTGTTGGGACATGGACCCCCGAAAATCGGGTTCCAATCCACACGTTGGATTGCCAGATTCAACGTTTGTTTGAAGGCTGACACTTTCCAGTTCCCACAACAGGGCTCCTTGAAGACATCCAAAAAGCCACCTGCGTTACAAGGCCCTCTAAATCAGCCGGTTTAGAGGGCTGGCCCATTTGGGTGCGTCTTAAGTAGGAGAACCCCTTTCATGGTTTCCTTTTGGTTTCCATCTAAAGCCAACCAAACAAAAAGAGGCCCCCACAGAAAAAAGAGGAAAACAAAAAAGAGGAAGAAAAAAAAAGAAGAAGAAAAAACGCAACCCATGTGTCTGCACTTCGGCCTCGGCCTAAGACCTGCCCAGCGGCTCACGATAGCCGAGGAGAGCGCCAACTTCTCCAGCTCGTCGGACCTTGAGGCGGCCGATAAGAAGCTCCCAAGCGCGGTATATTAAAAAAAAAAAAAAAAAAAAAAACTGGGCCCATAATTTTGATGCTTTCTGCTTGGTTGCTGTTGACCCCCCTGCAAAAAGTGTTGCTTCACTTTTTGGGGGGTTAGTGGAAAACACAGTTATTTCAACCAAAAAGTTAAAGTCTAAAGATCCAACCCAATAGCAGTCAAGTCTAGTGGTTATCAAAGTCACAAAATGGGGGTGTGTCCCTTTCACCCACCACTTTGACTTTGATCATGGTATGTCCCGTTGGCCCTCAGCAAGAACCAGGGGTTCAAATCCCCAATTTAAACCACCCATCCAAACCACCAATTCAGGGAAAACTGATTCACAATGTCTAGAAAACAATGTGGGATGTGGCGAACCTGTGGATGCACCTCTTTCTGGAGAAAACAAAAGAGTACTAAAAGACTACTAAGAACGGACCAACAACCACAAACACCGCATCGAAACCGTTTTCTAGAGGTACTAAAGCCGCCGGCCCCAAACCAGGGGAAAAGTACGTAGAGCCCCAAAACCCAAACGCAAGTGCACATCATCCACGTCCTGGCGGAGATCAAGTGGCTGGACGCTCCAAGCTACCGATAGTTTCGTGAACATCGGCATGCGGCAGCCTTGCCATTGGGCATTTCTAGCCCTGAGGGGCAGAAGCGTCAGGTAAGAGGTTTGTAATCATCACAACTTGCTGGCACTCGCTTTGAGTGGATTGGTCAAACAAACATGTCCAAGCCCTGGACTCTCCACACGGTCCAAACCCAAAGGCGACTGGCAGTGAGACATACCTACCCGTATTCAAATCTGAGTGAGTCTTTAGATAGGGGGTCCCCCTGGTTGGTTTCCTGGGAACCTCAAAGAATTGAGGGGGGGTCTTTGAGACAAACACATCCCTCATGCCCAGCGGCTCTCGGGACGTGCTGCGCTGGCTGTTGGCCAACAGGATCTCGCTGCACTCGGCCACCGCTCGCTCGGCGAAGCCGCTGCGAAACTGCTGCCCTGGCCACAGCCCTCGACAGAACTCGTGGTGGGAGTTTGATGTTTCCCGGGCCATGGCGAAAAACAGGGGCCATTCCAGCATGATGAGGACTGAGACCTCTCTCTCTTGTTAAATCTTGACCCATACCCAAACGTGCCAAGAAGGTGCTGATTAAAGCCACCAAGAAAGAGTTATGGGTGTGACTTTTCGAGGGAAGCCCCGTTTTTGTGGGTTTGAACGGGTAACTGCAAGGAAAACCATTCCAACCCAGAGAAGATACGCCCATATCATGGGCCTCCCGCAGCCCGTTGGCGCCTGTCTCGCCAGGTGCCAGGAGCAAGCGTTGCAGCTGGCGGACCACCAGCGCCAACCTGGGGCGAAGGAAGTGAACGGCAAGGAAGATGAGCCGAGAGGAACATCGCCTTTGGCCCAGAAGGTGATGTTGCTTGTTTAACTTCTTCAGCCCAAAAAAAGGATGACTTACTTCCTTGATCCCTCTTCTAAAGGCTCAACTGTTAGCGGGAGAGGGCGGCTATCCTGCCAACAAGTCTAAGGATAGGGCTGGGAACTGAGGCGAATTTCAAGCACAAAGCGCAAAGTGGGTTCGGACACATCTTGCACCGTTTGGCCACGATCAAGCCCGCAACTGAAACAATTCCCGTTGGCCGGTCAATGCGATTTCTTCTCAAGTAAATACTCATGTGCCTCAATGTGTTCCTGCAAAAGTGCGCAGATCGCAGTCTGACTCGCGGACAATATGAATTGGGAGTACAGGGGCAATTGCTTCAGGAAAATTGGAAGGGACTACCGATCATAGAGTCAGTGTCAGCTACTCAGCTACCATGTGCCCAAAGAAATCTGGGGTGTGCGGTGTTTGAAGGTACTGTTTTGGGTGCATTTTGAAAGTAGAAATGCGGTTGATCCTAAGTGGGCCCTCCGTGCATTTCTTACAAGCCCCCATGCAACAAGATAGCACAACCCCCATGTAAATTTAAGAATAAACCAGCACCGACCCGAGTAGCCATTGCGCACGTCAGCTCGATTCAATTGGACAACACACTCAAACAACAGGACACCATGTCTGGGCAGCCAAGTCAAGCTGCCAAGTCAAGGACACGGCGTTGCAGCGCATGAGTCGGGTGCAAAAAAGGAGTTGGATAATTAGCCAACTGTGTTGTTGCAGCTTTTTGCCACGTCATGGATTCCCACCTACGCAAGCAAAGCGTCAAACAAACTGCACACGCACCAGGTAAGCGTCTGAGTCAGCAACCGCTGGCAGGCACACAAGCAGGGAGGCAAGCCGTGACAAGGTCCAAGTCACCAAGCACAAGCACGGAGACAAGTGCGACAAGTGGGCAAACGTGACAAGGTCCAAGTCAGCAACTACAGGCAGAGAAACAAAGTGGGACACAAACGGGGAGGCAGCAGGGGTACCAAGGGCAAACCATCTCGTGACTGACGACACACATTAGTGTAAACACACACACACAGCACACTCACCCACACACCCACACACCCACACACCCACACGCCCACACGCCCACACGCACACACGCACACACGCACACACGCACACACGCACACACGCACACACGCACACACGCACACGCGCAAGCGCACACGCGCACGTACGCGCACACACACACACACACACACACACACACACACACACACACATGTGAGCCCCACACCTGTCTGTGCCTTAAACCGGGCACCCCAGGCCCAAGCCATGTGCCCAACACCTTTGGATCGCGCTGCATCTCCTCGGTGCGACCCTCGCCGATGTTCTTCACGTCGGAGAGGCACTTCACAATTGCGCCCATCTCATCCGGCTCGATCTGACCTCGGAAAGAGCTGGCACATGTCCCTGCTTTTTGTGTTGTTTGTTCGTTTTTTACATGGGACCTCAAACAAACTGTGGCTTGCTCCCCAATTTGGCATGGAACCCCACAAACGACGGCGAACTCAAACTAGTGATGTGGCTTATTCCCCTGACTTGCTGCTTACGTGCCTCAAAACAGCGGAACCGCCAATTGGAGGGATGAGGGATGTGGCTATTTTTCGCTGAATTCTTCCGCTGGATTCTTCTGGCCTTGGAGCAACATAGAGACCGACAGGACATTCACGAAAACCCACGGGTTTGGAGCTCAGCTGCCTTGAGATGGCCCAGTTCACTGGATTCAGAGCGGGGCCTAAGCAGTGATGTGGGCTTACTCCCCAGCAGAAATGAACGGAAGGCGACCCAAAAGGACATGCCTCTACTGCATGAATGAGGCTATTTGGGTTTGTGTTTGTTTTGTTTTTTTCCCCAGAGCCTGCGTTCATCTGCAGAGAAAGGAAGATGCAAGGTCAGCCCAAGCTGGGAGCGTGCTTTGATGGACAAAACGCGCGGACATACACGGCTGGAGGCTGGGCAGGGGGGCACCTAGACTAGACGCTCAAGATACTGCAGCCAAGCAGCTTAAAGGAACCTTGCTGAGGCAGCGCATGACAATCAGCTTCAGATCATCATTTGGAATGACCAACAACTTCAGAAGGATGGTCTCTCTCCTCAGGCAAGGCGTTGTCAATGCCATTGTTTCAGGATTCGGCTTCCAGCCGTGGCCTGATGCTGCAAACCGAGGCGCCCTTGGATGTTCATGGCATCATTCACCAGCTGTCTTGCCTGGTCATCTTCGATGCTGTCGTCTTCAGCTGCGAAAAACTCCACGAGGGATACGATCCCTCGGAGCCAGAGCGTCACAAAATGACGCCACTGCGCAACGTGGAGGGTTGTCAAAAACAGTAGGGGGGCCTGTTCGTATCCAGTTTTTGGAGGCACCTTGGCACAAAAGCGCCAGACACTGGAGCGAACAGCCTGCAAAACCGGTAACCAAACCGAGGCCAAGGCCCACCATGGCGTTGGTCACGAGGTCCTCGCTGGCTCCAAAGGACGAGACAACTTCGCGGGTTCCATGCGCGAAAACAACTAATTTGATAGGCCAAAGCCAGCCGTCCACGCCGTATCCACGGTTTTTGCATCCCAGCGGCATTCTCCAGCTCCCCAAACGGCGGAGCGTCCGCATTGTCCGATTCTTCATTGTGCTTCATGGCCAACTTGTAGAGCTCAGGATACCTCCCCGGCAAACGTCCTCCAAAAAAGGCGTGTGATGTGAATGTTCTATTTCGAGACCGTTTATTACGATTATTATGATTGTTATTTGTTATTATTACTAATTAGTTTTACTAGTATTATAATTATTTCTAGTAATAGTATTAAGTAGTATTATTAGAATTATTATTCTTATTGCATTGTTGATGTGTTTGTCTTTTTTTTGGTGCGCCAGCTGGGTGTAACCTCAACTAACCTGGAGCCTGACCTGACTGAAGATCCTTGAAAAGTAACTTTAGGGGCCTTCTGGTTCCATGTTACTTGGCTGGGCCTCGACAGCATGGACGCAAGGTTCGAGCTTTCGAGACACCTCCTGGGAAAAGCCCACATTTTGTTGGACCTGAGAAGGTGGGTGGGGTCCGTTTTTCGCGGGAAAGGCCGCACAAAGATCGCCGGCCGAGGCACTTCTTTCCCCCCAAAAACTGGAGCAGGGGCGTGACCTTGCGGAGGTCTTCCACCACCTTGATGCCCTGGAAGCGATCGGAATGCTGTTTTTTGCGCGGGTTGATTGGGGGCCGGGGGGGGGGAGGGGGCGGGGCTTGGGAGGGGGGCTGGGGGGGGGGGTTAGGGGCTTTGTGGAATTCCTTTCAAACTCTTTGGGAAGCCTTAGGGGGTTCCGGCTTCTCTAAGACTGAAAACAGTTCCGTCCCTGACTTGATCATAAAGCAACCGACCCGCAAAAAGTTCAAAGTTTGCCAACTCAGCAGGTAAGTGCTTGAAAGGGAAAGAGGGAAACTACCAATTTCTGAGGGGGGTTCCCCCATTTTGCCAGTTCGAAGGGTGGTTCCTCCCAGCATTGATAGGGCCTCATCCATCCCAACTACAGGAGTCTCCACCCGCATCGCTGTTCCCGACTGGAAAGCAGGAATTCCAATCCCCTCGGAGGGCGCATCCATTTGGATGCAAAAAGATGAGCTGCTTTCGCAAGAGGGGACCCCTGCAGCCCAACCCCAAGAGCTCCGCCTGCTTCTTGTAGACCTTCGGGTCCTCCAGCATCACCCGCAAGGTCTGCGTGACCGCCTGCGGCTTTTGCTCAACTACACCTGATCCACAAAACAGGGACCCCCGCGTCAAAATCCGGGGGGGGGGGGGGGGGGGGGCGCCTCCATAATCAGGGGGTCGACCACATGTGACCGCAGAAGCTGGCAAAGCACATCATGAAGGCAAATGGGGTCGCAGCACCTCAGGCGATGCCAGAGGAAACATCGAGCTGCACCCCCAGCCTTGCATCCAACTCGTTGTTTGTTTCCCAAAATAGGGATTGCAGAGCTTCCTTTTCGTTTCCCTAGCCCTAGCCATCCAAAAAGCTTTGGTGTCCCCCTTACACATCCGCTTGAAGCCATGCAAGGGAGGCACTCTTGCAATGCCACATTGCTTCGCTTCATGATGGCCGAGACGAAGTGGCAGATGGAAGCAATCCTGAATCGATGGCTTGAACATTCGGGGACCCCCGCCAATGACCACCCCCCAACAGTGAGGCCTGATTGGCCGAGGACTTTGTTTTCTTCCTAAGGCTTGAGGAACCTTGAATCCTTCCCTTTTTTTTGGGGGGGGAGGGGGGGTCTGTGATGAATGGCTTCCCACAATTCAGAATGCGCAGTGCGCCCCAAAGAACAGGCCGGATCACAACATGACAAAGGGAATATGCGTGTGGGAGGGGAAGAAACCTGCCCCGTCTTCAGCACGTCGTGGGATGCTAAATTGCCAGTACTGGGTTGGACGAGCCCAGCTCAATCTCAGGGCTTGATGAAGCGCATGAACCAAGCCCATCAAGAAACAACATTTCTTCCAAAAGAGGCACATCTTTGACCAATCTGCAAACAAACACGGAACCCAAAAAAGGTCCTCAAATGGAGCTGCCTCAATAGATGCCACCACGTTCTGGAAAGAACGCGGGTAAAAGCGAGACGTCTTGCTAGACACTCAATCTAGCTCCAGCATGCTAGCAGTCCAGTGCAAGTTACAAGCCATCCAAAACAGCTTGGGGCTTCGACACAACATCGCGGAGCCGTTTTTTGACTTCGACTTTTCGAATGGAGGCTCCCATCCATTGGGCTGTCTACTCGCAAAAGTCATCTTGAGAACGCGTCAAAACGCGATCCAGGCAAACCATGAACCACGCATTTATCAATCCATTCCCTCAAAATGGAGACAACTTGAGCTTATCTCAAAACAAAGGACAACCCCCCCCCCCCCCCAAATACTTGATTTCCTTTCGGCTTCCACTCTCAAACAAGAAACGCTTCCCCACCCAAGGGTGCCTCTTTTTCTGATTCGAGAACACGGGGGAATGTCCGAAATCCCCAATTGCCAGCTTGGTCTGACCGAAAAGGACACCCAAACGACCCCAACCGCTTTTGCCGCCCAACCGATCCATCGATGAACGAGCCGCGTCTTGGCCGCCAGAGGCACGTCGTTGTGCCGGCCCTTGGTGGCAGTGAGCACTTGCCGCAGCCGGGCGACCACCTCGACGCGGACCGCGGACCGCGGACTCGGAATTTTGCGAATTTCCCGAAGGCCAAAAGGGGTACCCCAAGATTTGGCGGCGGTTGGCAGAAATTGGCGGCGGTTGGCAGAAATCGGGCAAGCCCAAAAAAGGGCTGCCGTTGTAAATGGAACCAAGGACTAAAACCTGCGGCTCATATCCTTGGGGCATACTTTTGACAGAACGCCTGTCCCCTTCTGAAGCTTCCCGGCCGAAATCTACAGTGACAATTTTGAGGCTCGGCAAATTTGCGGCAGGTTTCAAGAAAAGCACTTGCACTAGGGTGAAAGTAGATAGAACTAGAACTACTATCTCCACAAGTAAAGCGGGTGACAAACCCAACTGGGGAGGTTCTGCCATCTACTTTCACCCAACTATAAGCCGTCCGCAAGTTCAAACTCAAAGCCAGGGTTTGCCGTGTTTGACTTTTAGGCATGGCGCAGGCATGAGCGCATACACCTTGGGCGCAAATCAACGATGCCCTCCACAGCTTCCAGATCAAGATTGGAACCCAAAAGCCAAAAACCCATCTTTTTCCGAGTCACATTTCAAGGGTTCCACTTTTGGGGTCCCATGCAGGGTAACTTCTCCGGAATTTCCCAAGTTCCCCCCCCCCCCCCCCCCACCCCGCCCTTGACGCGCAAAAAGCACTTGACGAGCTGACTTCTTGATTGCCCCTAGCCTTGGAGTGTATTGCCGCCTTGCTGAACATCTCAACGATCTCCTTGCGCCACATCAGTCCCCACGAGAGAAAGGGACGCGTGACGCGACATGGAGGGGTTCTCAATATTATTTCTTTGCGTGGTTTCCAGCTGTCACATTCATGGTAGCGTGCGTGAACTGTTCGGTGCAAAGCTTACGGAAGTTGGCAAGCTTGCTGGCTGCTCCTCTGGCCATGCAGCAATCAACATGTGGTACTTCAGAGAGGGCGGACCGAAAGCTGGCACAGTTTGCCAGAAGTGCGCCTCAAACAACTCCCCCAACGTCATGAACCAGCAACCTCGAATGGCACATCTAAGCAAACGATAGCAAACGGACAAGCACGCGTCCGGGAAAGATGCAACAACGGGTGGCGGCAAACCAGTCCAGCCGCACAAACCAGGAGTGTCGAGAAATGGCAAGTCTCAAATCAAAGCTTGCATCCGGGCAATATGTGGCAGCAGCATGAGGCAAAAAGCCGAGAGGGGGGAAATCGATCCCCCTGCCATTTTTGCAAAATCTGCAAAATGCCTCTGTGGACCCCCACTGACCCACCCCAAGGTCCCCACCCTTTTGTCACCACTCCCCCCTTCTCCCCCGCACCCCAAAGACACACCTCGATGCCATGGATGCCTCAACGACTCTGCCACGTCCCATCCTCGGACCCGTGCGCCGCGATGTTCTGCGAGATTTTCAGCACGTCCATCCAGGTGGTTCGCAGTCGCGGGCTGTCCTTTGCACAACCCCGCCCGTTGAAACCTGGCGACTCTAATCGATCGACGTGCCGCGAACTTGGCTGAGACAAGGCGCAAAAAGGGACTTGTTCTCCAAATGCATAATGCACCTGCCAGCCACGCCGTCACCCACGAATTTCAAGCACGCTGTGTGGCGGGCTTGAGAAACTCATGGCAACTCCATGCGAACCAAGTGAATGCTAGAGCCGCCCACACACCACACCCCCATCATCCAAGAAGCCCAAAAAAGAGATCCAACCCGTTTTTGTTGTGGGACATTCCGTGCTACCAGATTCAGGCACCGGAAATCCCGGGAGAAGAGATGGTCCACAAGGCGATGTCGAAATCAACCCCGGAAGGAAAATAACAGAACCCCTCTAAGAAGCACGTCCGCTGCACACTTCAGGCATGCCTGGCTGCTAGCTCGGGCGTGGCAGCGAGCTGCGCATACTCCTGGAGGGCCCATGAAAGTCATATCCGCCTCCAATAGGTGGTTCGCAGGGAAAACACCTCAAAGCCATTTTGAGAACTTCTCGGGAATGGGTGACCAAAATCATGATCTCCTCTTTCAGCCATTCTTTGCTCGTTACCCCAATTCCCTTGCGGCAATTGAACGACCCTGCCCACCCTATGCTGCATGATGGCCCTTTCGCGCCCCAAACAAAAACATCGGCAACTTGTTCTGTCGCTGAAACGTCCCATCCAAATCTCAGCCCTGCGATTGTCGGCAGCATGATGTACCCAAGCTGACCAAGCCTGTAACCAGCCCACTTGGCTGATACCAAAAACCTCTGCCTGTGCAAAAACAATCACCTGAGAAGAAGGCCATGCGTCCTCGGGGCCGGTTCCAAATGCAAGAAGCTGCACCTGAAGAGTCGCAAACGTCACATTCTCAGGAACGCCATTGGAATGGACACCCTGCCTCCAAAGTCTAGTTGAAAACATGGGGGCCAAATACAAATTCTACAATGATTGTCTGGGCTCCAAAATGGGTGCCAAGCAAGCCATCCCCATGCTGGCTTCTTCTCGGGAAGCTAAGAACCACTGCCCATGTTGTACACAGAAAACATACAATTCCGGCAAAACAAAGACTCCGCGCGATGCCGGCCGAGCAGCGATGTGAGAGATCTCTTCTGTCAGATACTCTTCCTACAGCAAGGTGCAATCAACAAGCATCTGAAGCAAGTCAACAAGAGCCGTTCGCACAACGCTTGCATTTTGGGCGCCATGACCGCGCCCAGGCTCGGTGAGGAAAAACGTCAGCATCAGAGGCAGCAGTTCTTCCATGATGTCGCAGACCTCTTCCCTGTCGCAGGTGTGTCTTTTTTGGGGGACACCCCAAAATGGTGGTTTTCCCTTGGTTTTTAAAACCAACCAAAAGGGCGTACCCTCAAAAAACAAAAGACTCCCCCCATTTGGTTCCGTCCGCAGGATTTGCGGTAGCACTACACATCAACGTCTACTTCGTCCAAGCCTGGTTCGCCTTTCTGGGCTTGCCGCACCCTCCGCCCTTTGGCTACGGCTTCACCTTTGAGCAAGTTAAGACTGATGAGGCAGCGGCTTTCTTTCATAGCCTTCCATGAAGCCATCCAAGCTTTTAGGCGGCCCAGCCTGATCTGCATCTCTTGCACCATGTCCAGCAGACCCAGTAAGATAGTCTTGGTGACATCGCTCTTGATGTTGGCCTATGGCTCCGGCCAAGCACCAAGTTGAGCTCAACTGAGCGTGCTCTGCCTGCCCTCACAAAAAGAACAGCAACTTGCCCTTGAAGCTCTGCGAGCTGTGAAAACACTGCAAGCTGGCCGCGAAAGGCAGGGACTTCAAGCCCACAAAGTCACAAACCCACAAACCCACAAACCCACAAACCCAAAACCCCAAAGCCCCCAAAGCCCCCCCCAACAAACATCTCTCTCCCCAAAGCCCGCCTCCCCAAACGCCATGACCGTGGGCACGACGATGCCCTTCATACCCCGACTCGCCTCCTCCCGACCTTGGAGGGCGCTGGATGTGCCACTGGTGGGCCCTGAAACTGGTGGGTGACCGCCATAGTTTGCCGGGAAACAACCATAGACTTCCATTTGGTTAAGACCATGGAAAAAATAAACATTAACTCCAGTAGTGATAGATTCCCTTTAAAACCAACAGGGGAAAATAAAATAAACATATTCTTAAGCAAATGGAAGTAGAAAGAGAAATCACGACCATCTGATATAAAGATTAAGGATCGCAGAGGTTGCTGGGTTTCCTAAAATCGAAAGTTGCAATTTACTGGAGGGTCCTATTGGCATTGCAGCTAGTGGGGGTCCAAATCAGGGAGATTGAGGGGCCCCTGAATGACCCCCAGAGCTTTGCAACCATCCTTTGTTTCAATACCCGGCTGTTTCTCCTGGCGTTTTTGCGATGTCTGGATCGGAAGGTGGCAGGAAGGCTAGGGTTGGCCGGTCCGATTCTTTGGGGCAAGCCACCACCCGGGGTCCATGGCACCACCTTATGTCAATCACCCGTCACACCTGTGAGGGGGTCAATTCTACCTTCCCCGCAGCGGCTCTGGAAGAAGAAACGGACCCTTTCTGAGGTTGACCAATGAACCCGCCAAGTGAACAGAGAAAAGCTGCCCCCGGAAAGGCGAGCTTCCGGTAGAGTTTCCAGTGGCTGGAACCTAAGCAATGGATCCGAGGTCCATGGACCTAAGGCCCAAATCGAAATTGGTCACCATGCCAGTGGGATATGCATGTCCTCTTTGTTTGGTTTGGTGGCACCGTTTTGAAGTGACAGGTGAATGGAACATACCTGAACCAAAACCTGCTGGGACCATCTCAAAAGCCAAATCGCAACAAATCGGAGCTTGGAGTCGTCCACACAAACGGTCCAAAAAAGATCCATGCCGGGCGGCAGTGGTCGCTGCTGAGCATCATGCGACGCAAATGGTCCAAGCACTTTCGCCCCAAGTCGAAGGCAACCACGCAGCTCAGGAAGCCTCTGGACCCGGGCGTGCCGGGCGCACGGGGACGGGCAAGGCTCCAGACCGCCTTGTCATTTTGTTTGATTGAATAGCGCCCTCTAAACGCGGCGTGCAGTGCCCTTAAAAGGAGCCGGGCCCTTTAGAGCTTTCCAAAGTCTGCGGCAAATGTGACACGTCACAGATGGGTTTGTCTCAAAATGGTAAACATCCGAAATGGGGCCCGGTTCCTTGTGGCTTCCCCGCATAAAGCGCGGTTTTGAGGGGTACGGGGACCATGCCTGCGATCCAATGGCGCAATAGACCTCAAAAAGTGGACATAAATCTCCACCTATACAAATGATGTCCTTGGAAAGGGTGCCCAATTCAAAAAAAACTAGAGGACGATTGGCCCGAAAGCATTTTTCCCCAAGCGCTCTTCCAGCCGCGGAGACACCTTTTTACATCGATGCGTGGAGCGTGTCTGCACGCGGCGATGCTCAATGTGTATGGTCACATGAGAGCTCCATCTCATCGTCCTACGAGAGGAAACATTGCAGCGTCTGCGCGCAAGCTGCATTGTTCCAGGCTGCTGCGCGCAAGTTGCTCGCTGCAAGCTGCTGCACGCAAGTGGCTCGACATCTGTCTTCAAGCTTTTCTGTGCACGTTGCTCTGTGCAAGTTTCTCTCCGCAAGACGCTGAGCTGTGGAGGTGCTCGTCTGCGCTTCAGGGTTTCCATTTTCCGGTCGGAGCAGCCAGGGGTACACTCCACGGCTTCTTTGCTTCAGCCGGAGCTGCCGCGGACGAGGGGGGAATCGAACCCGCGACCGCGCGATTGCGAAAGCAGGTGCGCATACCACGAGACAACGTTTCGCGAGTAATGAAAACGCACGTCTCCACAGCGAGAGCGCTTCGTACCTCGACCACGCCGATCCCTGCAGAGGGTCGCGCGGGCAGATCAGAAATCGCAAAAAACCTTGAGTTTTTGCACCTCGACCACGCCGATCCCCGCAGCGGATGAACCCGCGAATTCGTTTTAGTCTCGGCAAACCCTCTGCGTGGCTTTTTTGCGATTTCTGATCTGCCCGCGCGACCGTGGTCGAGGTGCAAAAACTCGATATTTGTTTGCGTTTTTGCGGCGCGCGGGTGAACCCTCTGAATCGGCGCGGCCGAGGTACAAAAAAATGATTTTTATTTGCGATTTCTGATCTGCCCGCGCAACCCGGATCGGCGTGGCCGAGGTGCAAACACTCGAGGTTTTTGCGTTTTTTGCGATCACAATCCGGATCGACGATCAAAGTCCTGCCCCGGCGCCCTAGAAAGGTAAACTTAACTTCCATAGCTGCTAACGCCGAAGCGCTATGCACTTGGCTCTATGCACTCGGCTCTATGCACTCGGCTCTGCGCACTTGTCTCTATGCGCCCGGCTCTGTGCACTCTATGCACTTGGCTCTATGCACTTGGCTCTATGCACTTGGCTCTCTGCACTTGGCTCTATGCACGGCTCTATGCACTTGGCTCCATGCACTTGGCTCTATGCACTCGGCTCTATGCACTCGACTCGGCTCTATGCGCTCGGCTCTGCGCACTTGGCTCTATGCACTTGGCTCTATTTGCACTTGGCTCTATGCACTTGGCTCTCTGCACTTGGCTCTCTGCACTGGGCTCTATGCACGGCTCTATTTGCACTTGGCTCTATGCACTTGGCTCTCTGCACTTGGCTCTATGCACGGCTCCATGCACTTGGCTCTATGTATTTGGCTCTGCGCAAATAACTCTATGCAAGTTGGTCCGAGAGCTCCGCGCGGAAGAACCCTTCGCGATGCTTTCGGGGAAAAACCACACATCCGCTTTGTGAATTGACCCGCCTAGCGTGTCCACGAGCTGTCCTCGCGCGGTATCATGGCGCTCCATTACCTCATCCGTCGAAGCGCCGAAAACGCGAGCAGGGCTCCATTTAAGGAAACCAGGCGCTCGCTAAGGTTGGGTTCTCACCTGGGCCCTGGGGTTCCGTTACCACCATAAAAACAATGGTGGAGCCATGAGAGGTAGTGCCTTCACCTGCTACTGCAAGAGCCAGGTTTGCTTCGAGTCTGAAGCCAGTGCCATGTTCGACCAAACCGATCTTAAAGGAAACCTGTGGCGAATGGCCAGGCGGGCTCGGTCATCGGTCATCACAACTCAATAACTCTGACGTGGCCAGGCACCCACTGCTTTGCTGCACCCAAGGCACTGCCGTGATTAGCTCCATAATGTAGGAGACCGTGATTTGCATCTCCTGGGTTGCACATGCGGAGGCACGTGCGTGTGCCTCAAGCCAGCTTTTTGCAAACAATTGCATCTTCGTGCGAGTGCCCCATCTCTGTTTGGCACGCTTGGGAAAACAGCTGGCGTGCGCAGCGCGACTGCAAGCTGGCGTTCAGACTTTTTTCTCGCAAGCATCAGGAACCCCTTAAAACCGCCATGGCTACGATGCAATGGCCCGGTTGATAAACCACAATTTGTCCTGATACACTTTCTGGGATCGCTGTCCCTTCAGCCAGCTCACTATGGCACAATGCCCTCCCCCCTCCCGGCACCACAGATCAGCAGGTTCACACAGTTTGTGTGAACCATGAAGCAGACCACCCAAACGACAAGACAAGTTTCTGCAGGCGACCCTGTGTCCATGCCGTCCCAGAAGGCCTCCTCAATGTGGAAGGCCTCAAGGTGGAAAGCCAGACGTGCTCTGGGTGTGATTTTTGTTGAAGGGTAACAGCGGCTATGAATGGAACAAAAGGCTTGAAACCACTGAAACCACATTCATTGTTTGTGGGGCGCCGGCAGTGACGTCGCTCACTTCAGAATGAGGAAATCAGAAGCTCAACCAGGCAGTGATTGCAGGCAAACAATAATTAAACCCTTCCACACGAGTTTCAAGAAACTGATTCGCTTTTGAATGACCGGGCTGCACGTGTAGTCCGAATCATGCATCCTAAGCCCACTGACAGTTGCCCAAGCTCAGGACAGATGTCCGTTGATTCTTCACTTGTCTGATCCGAGCCCCCCGACAGAACTGCCCTGTGCGCGTTTCGCCGCATTGTCCCTCACCAGTGCCACTCGAGAGGCCAGAGCTTCCGGATCCTGGCGAACGGCGCACACGCGAGAACCGCAGAAATCCCAAGCGATAGCGCGACAAGATTGCTTGGCTGCACCTTTTGGTGCGCAGTTTCTGTCAGAGTCAGACCCATTAGCACCAGTTCGGCTTCTTTTCTGAGCTGACAGCTTGGGCCAGGTAATTATTGTAAACATATTTGAAATCCATGATGCCCCATGGCGGTTTCTCAGCCCAGTGATTGCAAGTTATCTATCCTCCAGCACTTCTTCTAGGCTTTCCATGATCAGCTTGAGCTTGCCAACTCCGCCATGCGTCTTGGGCCTTGTGCGGCGGAACGGCATGAATCAGAGAACTCCAGTGGGTGTCTGTTTTGTTCAGCTTGGTTTCAAAGGATGCCAAAAGGAAAAACCCACATGCAATACAGGGCAAAACAAGGTCAATAAGTCAATAGGTCAGCAGCTTGGAATTCTGACGGCCAACTTCGTGTCACGTATCACCGTGCCAAGTTGAAAGCACAATGCAGGCAGCTTGACCTTGCGCCCCACACATCACGCACTAAGTGCAACATCAATGCACCAAGACATATCGGATTGACATAACTTTTAGGAGATCGCCCACCTGCATGTGCAACAGCTCTTTCATGCGTGTCACCCATGCTGGGTCGCCGCTCACAGCTTGATGCTCTAATGGGCGTGCTTCCTGTTTCAAGTGACCTGCTCAAACATACCTCCAAATGTTAACCCCCCCCCCCGCCCTCCCGCCGGTACGCTTAACCATCCCTCAAAATCTTCGCTCTGAGGCAGCCAGTGAAAAACATTCCGCTTCCCTCCGAGGCACCCTGAATCATCGCGGCGCCGTGCAAGCTCTTCCTGGCGGATCCGGAAACTCGCTGGACTCCCGATCCGACAAAAAAGCATCAAACACGTTGGCCCCAGGCAGGAGGTTTTTCCGTGGGACAAGCGAGCCTATGAGGGTCTCTTTGTTATGTTTGGAACCCAAAAATTGTGGTATTCCTCTGGTTTCCCTTTGGAAATCACATAAAAGGGGTACCTCCAACAAAGCCCCGTCCCTATGCACCTCTGCCCAGAGACACCGGCGTCGGAGTTTTGCATTGAGAGGCCCGGGAATGAACCGCAAACGCGTTTCAACAGGCTTCCCCTGTGAGACACCTCGAACAAAAATCGCCCCCATCAGAGGGTGGTTGTCCTTTCTCCCCTAGAACCAAATCCACCATCAACACCGCCAGCCGGATGTTTCTTTTTGTTCATGCCCAATATGCATCTCTCATCTCTCCTTTTGGCTATATACCCCCTTAGAAACGGAACACCCCAAGCGAAACTGGGAAAACGGGCCATCGCCTGTCGTTTCTTGAAGGCCACGTCGTAGACGTCCAAGGCCAGGAGGTTGGTCGCTGCAATATCCTCGCGCATCTGCCTCGGGGCGAAGGCCCGAAGACCCCAAGGAGAAGTCTTGGATGGCAAAAAGAACGTGGAATCCCTCTGCGTTCATCCAAACTGCTTGGTGAAAGTTGCTTTCTCCGCAAAAAACAAAAAAACAACAGGAGTTGGCCAGTGGGAACCCCCCCAAAACAAAGGTTCCAAAGTGGAAAGGCTACAGGTTCAACCCGAAAAGGCAGCCAAGGAAATGAGCCTTGCACATGGCAAGAAGGGTCAATGATCGAACCGCGAAACTTTCAAAGACCCTGAAAAAGGGTTGGTTTTAGGGAAACTAAAGGGAACACCCGGAAAATCATCCTTCTGGGGCCCTTAGAAAACCGACACCCATTGATCAAACAAAAAGGCGTTCCGGGAAGCGGCGTCGGCTGCGAAGCTAAGTGGCATGGTGATCATGCAGTCATCCAGCTTCTGCAGCGAAACCAGCCGGCTCACCACATAGATTTGGTACTCTTTGAAGCAAGCCTCGGTCGAGTCTTCAAAACGGCAGCTGTCTGTCTGAGCAAATTCCCTTGCCAAGTTGCCACAAACTTGTTGTGATAGAGCCTCAGATCAAGAAACGAATCAAATGCAAAGCCGCGAAGCATCTGCATCACCATCCCAAAAAGTTGTCAGTCGCCCAGACTTGGGAAACGCAGCAGTGATGTGCCATGCAAAACCCAAAAAATGCAGGGCGGACAGCGCGACAAGGCTGGCCAAAGAGAGGAAACTGATTTGTGTTGCCCCCCCCTCTTTGGGACACTCCCACTTACAGGAAAGTTACGAAAACACCCAAGCAGTGCTGCTGTTGAAGGCGCGCGCAAGCGGGCATGATGCGATGCATTGATTGCTACTGAAAGACTATTAGAAGGATGCATTAGGTTTGTTTCAATTGTTCAGGTTGTATACTCACTGCTGTTTTGCCCCTTCTCGGTATCAGTTTGGCGGGGCGCAGCAATGTTCAAACGAACAAAACCAATCTTGACAACAAAGACCAGCCAGGCAAGAGCTCATTGGAAAACTCTTGCGAACTGCTTGACGTCTGCTGAGCCACCAGCATCACATAGGGAAATGCCCAAGGGGGGCGATTCAGGACACTTCCCGCGCACCGGCAAAGAGATCGCCGAGTTTTTTGTTTTTTTTCTGGATACTTCCATCTTGAGGCATGCGGGTTTGAATCTCAAGGAACCTTTTTGGTGGGCATCAGCAACATGGTATATTATGTTGGAGGGTTCAGCCATTGAAACTCACAGCCATGCAACAAAAAGGAGCGGTTTCATGGCGATCCACATTTTTAGATCAGCTTCCCTTTCCCTTCCGCTTCCCTTTCACCAAGCCCATTTGGAGGCCTCCCGCCCTTTTTTTGGCGGTGGGCAGCGACCGACCTCCTCACTTTCCCTTCTCCAAAAAAAACGATCAACAAAAATCGGCGGGTTCTTGTCTTTGCCCCCCCCCCCCACCTTAAAAAAAAAAAAAAAAAAAAAAAAAAACCAGGGCCAGGGTGTTTAAAACAAATAAAAATAAAATAATCCGCCGCCCTCCGCTGGCGCGCTCCGGTTCCAGCGGGGCGCCGCAAGTTCTGCAGGCCCCGTAGGTGGCCCATGGCCTCCAAGGCCTGGGAGAGCTGCGAGGGCGTCCAGTCCTCGATGGCTCGAGGGTCGATGGGTCGATGGCTTGCAGGTAGGCTGTGGTTGGTGGGGGGGTGCTGTTCCCGTGGAACATGGCGACCCCAGAAAAATCAATGGAAATTTGTGTGGGGTGAAGATGGAACAAACCCTCTATACAAGAACCAGGGCTTCAAATCTCCAAATACAGGTCAATGTGAAATTCATGGCCACATATCCCTGGCACGGTGTTGATGTTTCTGGTGCGCTATCCACAGGACGCCAAATGTTCTCCCATCCATGCTCGCGAAAGGGCATGAAAAGGGTCGCTTGACGTTCTTCGCCACAAAAACCAGCAGTACATTGCCATGGCCCTACCACAGCCTAAAGCGCCTTTACCACACGCCGCTGCAAAACCAGCACCGCGAAGCCCCAAGGGATGGCACACACCAGCTTCCTTCCAATTCGGGTATTGGATTGGTGGTTTGGAAGCTAGGGGTGGCTTCCCATTAGCGCCCTTTAAGAACCAGGCTTGAAATCGCCAAACTACCAATCAAAACTATGAACTAAGGTTTGCCTGAAGCTGCGGCTTCATCCGGTGAACATGCTTCTTCATCCGGGGCACGAACTCGTTGTAGGCCAAGTCAAGCCGCTTGATTCGCATGGAGGACTTCAGATTCTCGAGGTTTCCACGGAGCTGGTTGTGCGACCTGGCGGTCTGCTCCCCGTTAAGCCCATCAAGGGCGCATGTTTGTTAGTGGCAGTTGGCTTGGTATGGTATGGTGTGGTCTGTATGTAACTGATGCATGCATGCTATGTGTGTAATGAAACGAAACGAAATGCAACGTAACGCAACGCAACGCAACGCAACGCGACGCAATGCAATGCAATGCAAGTATGCATTGCATGTATGTGTGTGTGTGTGTGTCTGTGCGTATGTGCGTGAATGCGTGTACTTGTGTGTATGGGTGTTTTTGTGTGTGTGTGTGTGTATGTATCTGTGTGTATTTGTGTGTGTATTTGTCTGTATTTGTGTGTGCATTTGTGTGTGTATTTGTGTGTGTATCTGTGTGTGCGTGTGTATTTGTGTGTGTGTGTATTGGTGTGTGTATTTGTGTGCATTTGTGTGTGTATTTGTGTGTGTATTTGTGGTGTGTGTAGTTGTGTGTGTGTGTATGTGTGTGTGTGTGTATTTGTGTGTGTGTGTGTATTTGTGTCTGTGTGTATTTGTGTGTGTGTGCATTTGTGTGCGTATGTGTGTGTGTGCATTTGTGTGTGCATTTGTGTATGTATTTGTGTGTGTGTGTGTATGTATTTGTGTGTGTGTGTGTACTTGTGTGTGTGTGTGTGTGTGTTTGTGTGTGTGTTTGTGTGTGTATTTGTGTGTATTTGTGCGTATTTGAGTGTGTATTTGTGTGTGCATTTGTGTGTGTGTATTTGTGTGTGTATTTGTGTGTATGTGTATTTGTGTGCATTTGTGTGTGCATTTGTGTGTATTTGTGTGTGTGTGTGTGTGTGTGTGTGTATTTGTGTGTGCATTTCTGTGTGTGTATTTGTGTGTGTATTTGTGTGTGTGTGCTTGTATTTGTGTGTATTTGTGTTTGTATTTGTGTGTATTTGTGTGTGTGTTTGTGCGTGTGTGTGTGTGTGTGTGTGTGTGTGTTTGTGTGTGTATTTGTGTGTGTATTTGTGTGTATTTGTGTGTGTGTGTGTATTTGTGTGTGAAATTGTGTGTGTAATTGTGTGTGTATTTGTGTGTGTATGTGTGTGTGTATTTGTGTGCATTTGTGTGCATTTGTGTGTGTATTTGTGTGTGTGTGCATTTGTGTGTGTATTTGTTTGTATTTGTGTGTGTGTATTTGTGTGTGTGTGTGTGTATGTGTGTGTGTGTTTGTATTTGTGTGCATTTGTGTTTGTATTTGTGTGTGTGTATTTGTGTGTGTCTGTTTGTGCGTGTGTGTCTTTGTGTGTGTATTTGTGTGTGTGTATTTGTGTGTGTATTTGTGTGTATTTGGGTGTGTATTTGTGTATTTGTGTGTGTATTTGTGTGTGTGTGTATTTGTGTGTGTGTGTGTAGTTGTGTGTATTTGTGTGTGTGTGTGTGTATTTGTGTGTGTATTTGTGTGTGTGTGTGTTTTTGTGTGTGTGCATTTGTGTGTGTGTATTTGTGTGTGTATATTTGTGTGGGTGTATTTGTGTGTATTTGTGTGTGCGTGTGTATCTGTGTGTGTGTGTATTTGTGTGTGTGTATTTGTGTGTGTGTATTTGTGTATTTGTGTGTGTGTATTTGTGTGTGTGTATTTGTGTGTGTGTATGTATCTGTGTGTATTTGTGTATATTTGTGTGTGCGTGTGTATTTGTGTGTGTATTTTGTGTGTGTGTGTGTGTGCATTTGTGTGTGCATTTGTGTTTGTGTGTATGTGTGTGTGTGTATTTGTGTGTGTATATTTGTGTGTATCTGTGTGTATTTGTGTGTGTGTGTGTATTTGTGTGTGTATTTGTGTGTGTGTGTGTCTGTTTGTGTATTTGTGTGTGTATGTGTATATGTGTGCCTGTGTGTGCCTACGTGCGTACGCACATACGCATGCACGCATGCATGCATGTTCATGCTGGAGAAAGCATTCCCCTGCTATCACAGAAAGTGCCACCAAGACTGACAATTGTCCCACCACCACAGAAAGCCTAAGCGCGCCAGCTTCACAAGATCAACACCTCCAGTGCCGGCAGGCCACCCAAGCTCGGCCTGGGCCAAACAAAAAGCAAACAAAGCCTTGTGGGGTGGTTCGGGCGCTGCTCGTGTACCCCACCCACGTCAACAAAAGGAACCTGACCGGGGGGATCCAGGTTTGGACAATGTTCTTCTCGAAAAAGCCGCTTCGTGGGTTCCATGTTGTTTGGTGTCAGGGTAGCACGGTGTATGCCATGGCCTGCCGTTGCAACCGATACAAACTAAAGCTACCCCAGCCCAAGCCTTGCAGCAAATAATTTGAGCTGCAAGTGTTCTTCAAATATTTGCGGCCGCGTCACATCACCCGCAATGCATTATAAGCAAGGTTCCTGGGCCGGGCCAAAATTCGGCGCGCGCTGCTGCCTGCTAGCACCCTCACGGCTCACGCCTGAAAGCCAAGGCTCAACTCTACCAAGCTCGGCAAGACCAGGGAGGAGATTCGGGAGATGAGGTTCTTCCGCGCCTAAACGTTTCTTCCCGCACCATCCGCGTTGCACATGCGGAGCGGACGGAAAGCGGCGCGGCAATGGCATGCACTTTAGGAAATGCATGCCGAGTTGCCATGATCGTCTGGAGGGCGTCGAAGCCGCTGTTGTTGAGGGCACTGAGGTCCATCAAGTTGTTGTTGGACAACTTAGGTGGCTCATGACCCTAAATGAGTTCCAATGCGTTCCAGGATTGCCAACCGGGTCATTGCCGCAACTCACTTGGGCAATGGACGCGAACCCTGGGGCAACTGGCAAACGGGACGGCTGGAGATCCACGAAACCAGCTTTTGTGGCTCCACCGCAGCAGAGCGGCGTCAATCAGCTGGACCCGGCTCCTAGTGAGCTTGGGATGCAGCAAGCCCCCAGAAGGGCCCTCCAAGGTATCCAGAAGGTACTTGTCACCTCGCAGCCGCTTTCGAGTTGGCCGGATTCGAGAAATCAGCCCGAGGAAAATGGCCTTCCCCCTCTCAAACGCCGTGCTTGTTTCTGGGAGGCTACCCCATCGCTCACTCAGGCAGAACAAAACCCGTCATTTTCATTTTGCCAACGAGGTGGCCTACATTGACACGTTGAGACCCAAAAAAACTCAAGAACTGCAGACATGCAGCGGGCGCCTTCACTCGCAGCAAACCAACTGAGCCTGCGACTGCTGAAGTCGATCTTGGTGGGTCGTTGCCTGGGCAGCAGGAAGACCCTTGACTTGGAATAGAGGCTCGGATGCAGGATGCTCAAAAGCTGTCAAACAGCAGTACACGGCTCACTGCGCCCTGTCTGATTTGGCCAAGTTGCACTCGCCAATCTGCACCTAGCACGTTTGCAAAGTCCTCTTCCTTCAATGAAGTCACCTCATTGCCCGGACTCGCTTCAAGATCGGTGGCTGAAAGCTGCGCGCTCCAGTAAATCCGTGCAGCTCGCACTGGTCGAACGACTTGGACATGTCCTTTCTTCCATCATCTTGCTAGGGGGCCGGTAGCTCACCCAATCCCAGCAGCATCAGACTTCCAAGTTGCATGCACACTGCGCTCAAAGTTCTCATCCTGCTCTCGCGTCTCCTGGAAGGATCTTCAAGCTGCTTCCGTCTACTTTTGTCTGCGCTTCATATGGCAGTGGGTCAAAAATAGGTCTTTAAAATGGAATCCTGGTAAAACAAAAACATGGACCAAACTCCGCGTCCCCTGGTGGTTTAATGTTGACCCATAACCACATGGCTGTATGTGTGAGCCTTTTTCGAGGGCACCTCGCTTGGGGCTGTTGCAACGGAAAACCGAGAGGGCACCGCCCATTGTGAGGGGGGGTCCAGCTTCGCCTGCAACTTCCCAATCTGCTGCATGGAAGCATCCGCCCACTTTACCAAGAACCTTTTGCCTTCTTGAGTTGAAGCAAGTGAAAGCAACTGGGAAAAGCACTTGTTGGCTTCGCAAATGACGAAGCTCAAAGCCGATCGCGCCACGTGGCCAAAAAAGCTGATCGACAGCTGAGGAGTCCTTGGCTTTGTCCAGCTGGTGCCGGGACTGCCGCGAGGCCTCGGCTGGCTTCGCGGCATCTATCCGGCCGTCGTTCAACGGGGAAGCCGCGGGGAAACCCACCGTCCCGCAATTTTCACAATACAAAGTCAGTGAACATCCCACTCCCAGCTGAAATAAACTAAGATGGGTGCAGCACCTGCCTCAAAATGGTACCATGGGTTTTGACCCACAGCCATGTCCCCAAAACCTGAATTAAGGGATCACCACATAAAGGGCCTTTATCATGGCGAGCTCGTTCTATCCCCAGAGCTCGCTATAAAATAGGCAGAGCCATTGCGATTTTTTGGAGGTCTGGGGGGCCCAGCCATTGGTTGTTTGGGAAGGGGTTCACCCTTGAGTTGTGTGCCACGGTCAAAATCCTCTGGTGCTTTGCAGTGGTCCAGCCAGCCTCCCAGGCGCGCCAACGCTGGCCTGGGGAAACCTCCGAGCAGCTAGCTGTGGCACACCTCTGTGCACAAATTAGGTGTTGCACGCCTGAGAAACTGAAGCACGACTCCCAAGCCCGTGGTCTGTTGTAGCGCTTGGACCAACGCCAACTGCAAATGTTTGAACATATGAACCGCCTCTTAGGATTCTCCTAAAATAGGTAGGGGGCCCTCCAAATTGGTATTCCTTTGGTTCCCCTTTGACCCCCCCACTAAAGGGCACCCTCAAAAAATCCACGCCCTTTGTCCTCCCTATCTCCCTTCAAAGGGGGGCACTGTTCAAACAGCCGTGTCGCCCGAGCCGAGTGCTCTGCCATGGCGCCATGCAGAGTTTGTACAAGGCTGGTTGTGGCCCCAGGGGCGTTGAGAGTGTGGCTGGCTGGGTGTTTGCTCTTCTCAACTTGCGCGTAAAATTGATTCGGGCGCACCTCACAGAATACTCAAAGCCACAAAGCAGTCTGGGTCCGCGTGTTGCATGCAGGAGCACTCAGTAGAAAGAGACCATGAAAAAAAAAAAAAAAGAATAATTGCCATAGCCGTCACATGAGACACATATTTTTTTTTTAAGGCCCGAGGTTACCTTGCGCCCAGCCCGAAATGACAATTCATGGGGCCAAATCATCTGCTGCATGCGGGCCGAAAACGCTGGCTGACGGGCGCGATGGCCACCTGGAAGCTCACAAAAAGCCCTCGCAAGAAAATAAACCGCCGCCCCGACAAAATATGATCCACCTTTCCAAAGCTCCAACACCAAAAAAACAAGAATGACGAACAATGCGTTATCATCTTTGCGCAGGTGCTATGTTTAAATGTGTGTATATATATATATAGCATGTCCACATACATAGATATGTATCTATATACAGATATATACATATGTGTGTGTGTGTGTGTGCGTGCGCATGTGCGTACACAGCTATAGCAGCTGTGGTTTCTGTACGGCAATGGCACACCTGTCAGCACGCCTGGTCTGCTCACTCAGGCCGGTGACGCTCAGCTGAGGAGTGCCATAGACCTTAGCAATAAGCCGAAATCCAAGCAATGCAGCCTGGCTAGTGACTTGGGGCCATTGAGGATCAAAGACATGACCTTCTAGGGGACTCCCCTCACGGATCTTCATTGGAATTTCCATGCGAACATATCCTCAATGATGCCACAGCAGTGGATGGGTGGTCCCCCCATGCGGTCCCAAAACCAGCTGCAGACGATCAAGAACATTGTCACTTGCTCACATGCCAATGGGAGATCCACAAGCTGAGTAGTTGGCCCGGCATCCCCTAAGAAGCCCGGGACTTTCATAGGAAAAGCATGTTGTTGGTTTAGTTTAACCAGGCACATGAGCTCCCCCCTCCCCAACCCCAAAAAAATCGATAAAGCGTCCCACCCACTCAAACCTTTCTTGAGCAGCTCAAACCGCAGCCGAGCGCGCCACAGTGAGGCCTTGCTCCTCAAAGTCCACCCGTACCTGGTCCGGCGCCTCCTGGGGCTGTTGTTTCAACCATGTCCAGTCAACCTGGCGGTCCCCAAGTGTGGGGGGGGGGGGGGCGGGACTTTGAGCTCCCCTTTGCTACCAGCCAAAAGGGTGTCCAAGATCCGTAAAACTAGAGATACTCAAGCGGCCCGGAATCCTTCGAAAATGGGACACCGATCAACATCCAGGTCAGTTCTCCAAATCACGCAAAGACTTGAGCAACGAGAAGACACATTGACAACCAAACGGACAGTCGGACATAGTGCAGGGACATTGGCCAGGCTGACCCTCAAGGCTCGACTCACCCGGTATGTTATGTCCTGCACCCTCCAGAATTCTGCAACACGTCAAAGTTGTTTTGAGCTTCTCTGGGCCCTCCGCGAAATGGTGCTCAAAATGTTTTTTTTGAAGGGCAAGCGGGCTGCAATGGCTCCTGCGGCAGCTGGGGTCGAAGTCGGCAAAAGACCTAGCAGGTCCGATTTGAGGACCGAAGCTGGTTGCCCGCCAAAGCCCGTCACTCAAATTGGTCGCTCTAAGAAAGCCGCGCGGACGTTCCCTTTCAGGCTCAGGATCTCCTTGGCGAGTCTTGCAGGTTCTCTCGCCGCTGAGATGCGCTTGCGAGCTAGGGGCATTGTTCATCTTGCGGAGGACCGCCCCGCACTCAGCGAGCAGCGCTTTCCGCGCCTGAACACACGGGCTTAAGCGGCTGAAGCGGAAACATCGCGTGCCGCACGGGGCTTTTTCAAGCGCTTTTGCTTGTTGGGCGTGTCTTTTTGGGAGAGTACCCCTTCTCTTTGTGGTTTTGTGTGGCCAAAGGGAAACAACTAGTGTGCGGGTCAAAAAGGCACACCCAGTTCCAGTGCTGGCATTGAGACTTGCGTTGGGCCCCTTGCCCCGCAAAATTACTCCTGTGCCCAGCTGGCGGAAACTCAAACAAGCGGCCCAGGCCACTTGAGGTCTGATATAGCCCCACCGCCATGCAACGATACCCGCAAAAAAAAACGCGCTGGTTCGGGTTTTGGACCGCTGGTTTGGGTCTTGGACCCATCCCCAACTCACCCGTGCTAGGGGAGGTTTCTAACAGACCTCATACAGGGGGCCAAAGGGAAGATAGAACGTCACGAGCATTGCGACTCTGATGTTGGCTTAATCCGGGGCACTACGCTAAGCAGTCTCTCTCCCATTTTAGTGGGGGATTGACTCCATTTAGTAGGCACAGTCCCCCGGATTGATTCGTTGACATCATCGTTACAACGTCTCGCTCGCTTGTAGCTCGGCATTTGCCCAGCTAAACCACGTGAAGCCAACTCTCAGCGCCCGTCGAAGAGAGCGGTCGGGAAACGGCCATGAAATCGCCTGAGGCGATTGGGCGATAGGAAAGGCTGAGGCAGAGGAAACGGACAACGCGCCTCACCTCCATGAAGCTCAATCCTCTGTGCTCTGATTCCCTATATACATATTTGGAGCCTCAAGCGCCAATCGTCCAGGAGCTGCTGTTGCCCTCGTTGCCCCACTTCAGGACCTAAACGCTTGGCAACCAGGGGCCAAGGTCTCTCTCACCGAAGAGGTATCCTTTAAAGCCACCAAAGAACCGGACCTGAAGGAAAAGCCACCCCGAATGACCCGGACATGGAGAAAACACATGGCATGACACTTGGTTGCTGTTAACCCCTCCTCAAAAAGTTTAACTTTTTGTGGCTTCAGTGGGAAACCCCTTGATTTCCCAAAAAGTTAAAGTCTAAAGATCCAACCCAATAGCCATCAAGGACAGCCCTCGCTTCCCAACCTGCTTGCCCAGAAGCGTGGATACGCTGCTTGTGGTGCGCCTGGCTGAGGATGATGGCGGCGATCAGCACCACTATGAACTCGCAGGAGACCCAAAAACAAAATGCCAAGCCGCTTGAGCCAATTCCAAACCAACCCCGCTGCGAAAAACCCCTTGCCATATCTGGAAAACCCCCGGAAATCGACCGCTCCAACATGCACTCTGTCACATTTGAGTTGCAACGAAAGTCTGCAACTTCAAGAAGCACCCTGCTACATCTGAATTTCCGATGCAACAACCGGAAGGATCTAAGCCTGAGTAGGTTGCAGTGGGGTGACTCTTCTAATGGGAAACCACCAAGGAGAAAAAGCTGAAGCCATCTAAAGCCCAAAAGATGGGGGGTCCACGACTCCTGGCATGCCCACTTAAGCCCAGAGAATCCCGCCCCTCCCAGAGCCCCTGGCCAGCGCGAGCAGCAGACCCAGAACCATCCAACAGCGGCAGGAGGTTTTCGCCGCAACCGCCTCCCGCAGCTTGTCGCGGCCCAGGGCGGTTTGCTCCTGCGATAGCGCGCCAGGGGGTCTCACTGCGGATTGGCCCCCGAAAAAGTCTGAACTGTTTGTTTACACGCCCAGAGACTAATGCCGAACCCCCAAAAAACACCATGGGGGACCCCATTGGGTTCCTTGTTGGCTTGTAGGGGGTACTAACATGGTCCCAAAGAAGTATCAAGTCCAGCTCTGGATGGCGCATGGGCGACGAAGTCCAGGTTAGTTCGGAGCATCGGACAATTTCCAGGATCCTTACTCCTTACCCAGATGTTAGCCCATAGTGGGACACCACAAAAGGCGAAACACGCCACCATCTGCATCCGTAGGCGACAACACCAACTGCCCGGCAAAGTGGCTAAACAGGTGGGCTAAACGGATTGGCCCGGCGGGCCGACACTGAGCTCCGAAACTGGACAAATCAGGATCACGCAACGCCGAATCGGATGCCAATCGATTCGCAGTCCCGAGTCGAGGCAATGTGGCTCCTCAGGCGGAGCCGAAGGCACATACACTTGACCTTGTCCTTCCAACGAACCATATTCCTCTCAACGCTGGGGAGGGTAATGGATGCTGTGAGCTTTGAAGCCTTGCGCCGAGAAGCCCAATGTCATTCAGGATCTCCCCCTGCGAGTTCACCAGTGACTCCACGTCCACGAAAATCTGCATAGTTCGGAGCAAGGGAAATGTTGCGAGCAGTGCGTAAGGCCCAGTCAAACAAGAAGGATTCCCTTATCATCAGGCGGCATGAGGCTCGTTCTTTTCAGAAACACTACTAGCTGAACCAAGTATGCAAATTCTACAATCATCCTACAACCTGAATCCTGGAATAAGGGAAATCCAAGCAAGTATAAAGGACCGTCATCATCGTCATCATCCGTCATCATCGTCATCAGTGAGCTCGTTCTACCCCCGGCTTGGTGAGCTCGCCAGGAAAACCAAGTCACCAAACGTGGCTGGGCATGGGCTCCAGGCGATTCCACACCACAAACCCCCTGCCGGGGACTGGGTCCAGCAAAGTAAGCTGCTCAAAAATTGACCAGTAAATATGGTGGCATAGGGGGGAAACCACCCTAGGAACTTCCAAAACCCCGCATGCGACCAATTGCCCACCCCCACCCCCCCCCCCACCCCCGGCCTGGCTCAGATCACGCGCTGCACGGGCCAAGTTCGCCAGCTCGTCACCTCAGTGGGCAGAGAGTCAATTTACATTTTCCAGGTTCGTTCATTCTAAGTTCCAAAGGGTGGGCCGTACATTCTGAATAGAGGGCAGTGTGAAGATAACCCGCCCTCATGCCGCCCCGCAGCACAATACGTCCATGTCACAGCCAAGTGGCATCTTTCTTGAGTAGCCTGTAGCGCATTGGCCGTCGACAATGGCGCGGTGCCTGACGATGGCATCAAACGCCTTCACGCGGCTGGAAACAAACGCAAATGAACACAAGGAGGGCCAAGGAGCCCAAAACCAAAACAAAGCTCGCACAAACCCTGAACTTTCCGCCCTGGAACTGCCGACGCAAATTGCGCGGGCCAAGCTTGAGCAAGCTTTGCTGGTGTGTGCGTGCTGCAGCGAGCCATCACATGCCACCCGAAGTCCACCCATGCAAAGGAGATGGTTGGTGTGTGAGCGAGGGCAGAACGCCGACACCTGCCGTCGCGGCAATTGTCCTTGTTCACTTGACAGCCGATGATTGTCACGAACGCTGCCATATCAACAACGGACTTGCATCCGCGACAACTGCATCCAAGGTCTACGTTTGGTTTCACCTTGCGCGCAGTAGCCGCGGTGCCCCAGGAAGTGGGCTCCCCCATTTCGCGCACGCACTTCCTAACCGACCCACGGAGCGGAGGCGTTCAAAGCAGGAGCCAAAGCCAAGGAGCTGGGTGGGCTATCCCTTATTAACCCCTTAATAATATTGTGGGGACCCTGCTAGGGTCCGCGAACTGTCCTTCCAGCGGCAACCTTTCGGACCAAAAGTTGGAGGCACGACTTTTGCCGAAGCCAGCGACACGAGTCCCGCGCCTGACTGCCGCTGCATGGCATCTTGGATGGTTGAAGCGGCAGAGCGGCCTTTGCAGAGGCAAGCTCAGCAGCTCGTCCCACTGGCATTTGAGTGTCTTTTTGTCTGAAGCAGCCCTTGGTTTGTCGGTTTGAAAGCAAAACCACCATGTTGTTTTGGGGACCCCCCCAAGAGAAGACATACCCATGTATGACCCCTTGGATTTAAAAATTCTGAGAGCAGCTGGAAGCCCAACCCCGCCCCACCCCCCGCATAGCCACCGCTAAACCGCCTTGCCTGCTGCCACTGCCTCCACCACCTAGGCTCGCAGCTTTCTTTCAGGACCGGACCGACTTTGAGCACAAAGTAAAAGACTGTACCACTTCAACTTGCCAAACCCTTTGCAGTCGGGTGAGGACGCGATTTGAACATGTGGACTGGCTGTGCAGCACAACCTCGTTGGCACAGGCGCACATGAGCAGCTACATTGCTTGTTCTCTTGTTCGTCTTCTTGGCTCATCACGACTGCCCGTGTCTATCCCGCACAGTCCTTTGCATCAGTTACCCACTGCATCGACAGATTTTCGTGCTTGGAAGCGCAAAAGCGCCAGTCCGTCTGATCAAGACAAAACAAACAAAGAATCAAAGCAACAGAGTCTCGTGCCACTCTTGCCATGCAAATCCATCCATCTGCTTTCATTTGGGTCTGTTTGTTGGAGCTTGGGGTTGGTTTGAAGGTAAACCATAAAACCTCGCATTTTACAGATGACACAGTTTGGAGATTGGAGGTGTCCAACAACTGGGGACAATGTCGGATGTCGTGACCCTCCCTAGCGCCAAGTCGTACCTGTGTCTTCTGACTACACAGTTGTCCCTTCCAGACTTAGACCCGCAAAAAGCAACGACATTTGGCTTGGGAAAAGGGAGAAAGCCCAAGAGCATGAAGGCGCAACTGCGTGGCCACTTGTGTCCATGGCCATTCCCCCGCTAAGCTGCTACCACCCACCGACCCACCCCAAACACAACTCCTATTTTGGTGCGCTTGTGACACCCCCAGACCGCGCGTTTGGAAGCCCCCCACCAAACCCACCGCCACTTTTTCTGGGAGGGAGGTGGAAGGAGGGTCCACCAAAGGTTCCCAACCAAAATCCCCCCCCATTTGGCCCTGTTTGCGTCGTATTTAACGAGAAACCGAAAGGATTCCAACCATTCCGATGTTGATAACCCATTTTGGAAAATCCATCAACCTCCCCCCCTCTCGTGTTTCCTTCAAGTCAGATAACCCTTAGTTCGTGGTTTGGATGGTGGTTTGGATTTGGATTTGCACCAATCCAATCCAATCCAATCCAATCCAAACCACCAACTAGGGGGCGAGCTACCAGCCGAACTGAACCGCGGCGCCGTGTCGTCCGCCTCCGGAAAGGCGGCACGGAGCTGCCGGGAGACCTTGGCCTCCATCTCCTACCGCCCCCAAAAACGGCCGGGAGCAAAGAGGCGGGCGGCCCCCCCCCCCGCCCGGGTGCCGCGCGGCAAAACGTTCAAGTTGGGCAAGAGATTGCCAAAAGGAGGTCTGTTGCAAAAAAAACTGACATAAAGGCACCCTTGAATCATAGCCTTTCGGCGTAAACTCTTCCAATGCCTCGGCGTGATACTTTGTACCGGCGTGGTGATAACAAGGCACACCCATGTCGAATCCTTCCAACAGTATCAACCGGAAACCACCCCCTCATGAAGCTTTTGACATATGTAAAACCGCGGTTTTGCCCGGTGGAAGTTGTTGTTGTTTGCCCGCTGGAAGTTGCTTGCACCTCCGAACCTCCCCCCGAGCGTCCTGGCGAAAGGCCACCTGCAACTGGAAGTAGCTGGACAAGGCGTTCCTAAGCGCAGCTGGGGTTGGCTCCCTATCCACGGAATGTTGACCAAGGAAAATGACAAACAGACTGTGTGATTTTGACTGGCGAGATGTCCACATTCCCCTTCACCTGTTTCGAGTGGTCATGATTCTCCATCCAAATTAAAACAAACCAGTAGCAGTCCTTCACTTTTGGGAGAAACTGGAAATGCCCCCCATAGCTCACAAGGACCCGAGTGCATGGCAACCTCCTGCCGTCGTTTAACGTAGATAACTCCCCCCCCCCTCCCAGGAGAAAAAAACAACTACTCATTTGCACAGTGTCCTGTGCACAGTGTCCTGTGCTCCTTGCCTTTAATTTGCGGTGCCCGTTTGCCACACCAAAGCCAAAAGACCGATTCGCCCGCCACCGATCCCCACGCGACGTTTGGGATGTGGGAAAAAACAAACCCGAGCGTCTGGAAGAGGACGGACACTCCGGCCAAGGCCTGGCGCCTTAAAGCCGCCTGGGCGCAGTGAGCAAAGGTCCCCAAAGCCGCCTGCGAAAAGTCCTCCGTTTAAACATGCGGGCTAGAAAATATCAGCCATCAGGTGCTTTTTTGGGGGGAAACAACAACTTGCCAGGGGAGTCTCTTTTTTTCCGGAAAAAAAGTTCGCCCACAGGTTGGGGAAGGCCTATGCGCTCACCCGTTTGAAGGCTGGGAGTTCGAGGATCTTTCGGGAAGTTGTGGCCATGGCTTCGGGAATTTGACCCGCAAGTTGGAACCCGAATCGAAGAGGCTACCATCCGAATCTTCGCCTGCTCTCCGACTGGCTTATTTCATCTGATCCCCTGATCCCCCCAAAAAAAAGGAAAATGGACGGGTCTGGTTCAATAGCCACCGACTTATCCTCGTTTAGCTTCCTTTTGGAGAAAAACAACAAACGAGTTGTTGGAGATAAGTGTTGGGGGAAACCACGCCGAAACCTGCTTTTGGGGTAAGCAGCCGAGCCACCCATGATTTGGGGCTAGGGAAACCCATAGACCGCCGCATGACAAACAACTTTGAACCCCTTCGCCTCAGATCCGGTCTGCTGGGGCTCGCTGGCCAGATTCCGCAGCTCTTGGCAGGTCCTGCGGCCGCGTGAACGAAGCAAGCGGCCAGGCCCGAGAAAAAACGGGCCGGTGCCTCTTGGAACTAGTTTGGGAGACAAAGAACGCTCTGGTGCAATAGTAATAACGGTTTGGCGCAATAGTTCTGGCGCATCTTTCCAAAGAAAAAAAAGCATCTGTCTCAAAAGAAACTGGTGGTTTGGTGCACAGGCACCGTGTCCAGGAGAAAAAACACATGTCCAAAAGCGTCCTGCGCACCGTGGCACCTGTTTCTTGGAAATGTGGTGCTTGTTCGAGCGGGGGAGTCGAAACTTTGAAAGGGAGACCAAAACTTGGACCCAAAACCGCAACCCCCAGCCCAAGCATGTCTTGGCCATTTACAGGTACCCCCCACTCCAAGCGGCCAATCCCCCGCTCCTGGAAGCGGCGGTGGACGCCCGGGCGGCGCAGGCCTCTGCTTTCAGCAGCGCCTGCCCGGAGAATCCCTCCAGCCCCAGTCCCGCACCAAGCGAACCAAAGTTTTACCTCTCAGCGGCTTGTTGATCCCTTGCAAGATAAGCTTGGATACGTCAACCTCAACTCTAAGTCTTAAAGCCTAAGTTGCTGGAAGGTTCGAGGAGTGGAATGAACCGTTTGGGATCTCCTAGGTTCAGTCCGACGGCATTCTAACTCATTCCCTGCCAGCGTGGAGCACCACCATGGCCTACCCCCCCCCCCCAAAAAATGTAGAAAAGGCTTGTCCTCGGGGGTGGGGGGTAGATGGTTGCCTGTTCTGTTTTTTATTTCACAATTCAACACGTGTACCACCTTATCCGTTTTTAAAAGGCTGATTTTGGGGGCATGAAATAACGATATGGATGTGGTAACGAATTGATGATTTGGTCCCCTGTCTCGTTCCAGATTTCAACTTTTAGTTTTATTGATTGAAAGAGGATAGGACTTTCTGTGGATTCATGGGTTGGCTTTTGGGCGGTCTTCTGGTTTGTCATTGACTGATGATTTATGTTATAACTATGGTAAAATTATAACCTATAAGTTGATAAATGTTGTAATCATATTATAGTTGTAGAATAATATGAAGAAACTTAATCCATCTGATATTCAAAATCTGATGAGGTTTCAATGTAATCTCTTATCTCTTCCTGTGTTGTTTGCTGTGTGTATTGTTTTGTTGCTTCTTCAGTCTTTGGTGGTTTTGGATTCTTAACATTGTTGATGTGTTTTTTGGTTCTTTCGTGTTTTGCTTTCTGACTAAGTGAGACCATACATCTACAGTATTGACAGTCAATTTTCCTTTGGTTGTATTCTTTTCTGTATTCTTGCTTGTGTTCTTTATTCTTTTCATAGTGTTTTTTATCCCATTCAGCGTGCTTGTCTTTATTGTTGTAATAATATGTGTGTCTTTGTTTGATACACTCATTACATTGTTTTCTATCTTTATCAAAATGTAGTTGTTCTTTTGTTTTTAGACATCTTGAGCATTGCTTCGCTTCAGGCTTTTCCATATCAATAATATATAGTGTTCCTAAGTCTTTAAAAGTGTTTCTAGGTCAAAATTAATTCAGGGGTATTCATAGATTAAAAGTTCACTATAATTATAACATATAATAATATAAATGTTATAATTATGGTTTAGTTATGAATTACACAGGTTCATCAACAATTAGTTTAAACCTTATGTTTTGTACTCCTCCAAAATTCATTCTACTTCTTTCTCTATCAATACATCTGTATATTGTTTGATGTGCCTCTATCATTACTTCGGTTATATTATCTATGGTTATATTATCTACAAAATCATCACTATGAAAATGAAAACTAAAAGTGTTAAAATGGTCGTCTTCATAATTGAAATGATGAAACCTTACAAACATATTTACCTCAACTATTATCACTGCTTCATAACCGTTATCGGTTTCAATGCCATCTAACAAACAATCTAAGTTTTCATTTTCATTAAACACTATATCTTTGATGCTTTTTATGCTTAAAGGTATATTTCTTGAAATGTAATACTCAATTACGTGTCTCTTTATATCATCGCCATCTTCAACAGTATAGCGCTTTGTCTTTCTTTTTGTTTCTGTTCTATCTATTTTATATCGTTGTTGTATTCTCTTTAATGTCTTAATATGATTATGTTTTAGTTTCAAATACTCAGGTCTCCCTAATTTATATGAAATGATACCTTTTAATACATCAGCAGGTAAGTTAGTCCATTTCTCACTCATTGTCTCTTATTATATTATATTATTTTTTCTTTAAGTAGTTTTTAGCTGGGGGTTTCAGGTTTCATTTCAATGCCTTGTTAGATTATAAAACGTTGTTGTAATCATATTATAGTTATAGAATAATATGAATAAACCTATTTTCAGTGTTTCCAGTCTCCTATGTTGTTCCAAGAACTGCTTAAGATGTTTCTGATATTATACCAGATTAAGTTAACGTCATAATCTTTCATTGGTGCTCTTTGTTGTATTAAATAACGCAACACTGATATCAAAGTATTCCAGTGAGGACAATTGTTCAATTATGTAAAGCGGTGCGTCTCAATATTTTGTTTTCAGGATGGTTTCACCGGCTACCTTCAGTAGTCAGCCCTCACAATTGACAATAGTCAAACCTCACTATTGCCAATTGTCAAATTGACAATTGTCAGTTCCCACTATTGCCAATTGTCAGTTCCCACTATTGCCAATTGTCAAATTGACAATTGTCAGTTCCCACTATTGCCAATTGTCAGTTCCCACTATTGCCAATAGTCAAACCTCACTATTGACAATTGTCAGTTCCACTATTGCCAATTGTCAGTATCCATTATTGCCAATTGTCAAATTGACAATTGTCAGTTCCCACTATTGCCAATTGTCAGTATCCATTATTGCCAATTGTCAAATTGACAATTGTCAGTTCCCACTATTGCCAATTGTCAGTATCCAGTATTGCCAATTGTCAAATTGACAATTGTCAGTTCCCACTATTGCCAATTGTCAGTTCCCACTAATGCCAATTGTCAGTTCCCACTATTCCCAACGAGCAACCTTTCCAACACTACCTGTACCACTAAATAATTCTAATAATTTCATATTATTAGAATTATTTATATATTTATTTTATTGTGTAGTGTCGCGAAGCTCACTAGGCTATTGCTTCGCAATAGCGTAGTGTCCATACGGGATTGAATTGAAAGCATCAATATAAAACCTTTTATTTTCATAATTACTGAGTGATTGCTTGACTTGAGACATTGAATATATTTGGTGTGTTTTGCTCCTGATGAAGTTGTAGGAGATTTCGTGCTTTTTGTTGTGATGCAGTGCTTCGTGGTAGTTCTGATAGGTCAATTCCTTTTTAACCTTGTGCTTGACTACACCTTTGGATTTCTTGTGTTCCTCATCCTCGCCGTGGATTGTGAAAGCATAGGATTTAGGTTTCAACCCGATAAATCTAGTGATGATTTTACCGTTGACTTCATCTTTGTACATTCCTAAGACCTTCTTATTTGTTGTGTCATGGCATGGATGTTCAACAGGATAATCACTAAAATCCATATGTTGCTTGATACCTTGAAAATCCTTGTAGATATCATCCGTGAAGGTTTGAATTACATAACTGTCAGTATCTGTATATATCAATTTGATATTTTCGTTGTATTTCTTTTTCAACACACCATAGTAAAACTCATACATATGTAATTTACTTAAATCAAGAATGGTCATTCCTAAGAATATGGGTTTATCCAATTTCAGTTTAGCTTTAGTTTTCTCCACTCCTACCAGATTTTCATTTATGATAAATCTATTTTTGAAAGTAGGATTATTCACACACTTTTCATATCTAACATCATTATCTACCAGTTCAAAATCCATATGTTTTCTTTTGTCTTCCATAGTTTTTCCATACACTGCGTTATTCATTAATTTGAACAGGTCTTTCTCAAAGTCGCTCTTCGCTTCTTTCCTTTTACCAGTGTTGAAGTCAATCCACGGTTTCAACCAAGCCCTCTGTTGAAATTTTATTATCCTATGAACCTTGGTGAGTTTCATACCCATTTTTAGATAATACTGTAAAGTCTTGATATGAACAACATATTTTTCTTTATCTTTCAAATTTAATATTAACTTGCTGGTTTTCTCATCCTTCGGTTCTTTGTTTCCATAGTAGATTTTGTAGATTTCCTTTTGATAGTCTGACAACATATTAGCATTGACATTCATTATTTCCGGTGCTAGTGGATAGTCCGAATGGTAGTCGTGTAGTGTTTCTGGATAATCCAAATCAACTTCCATAATATAACCATACTCATCTTTTTCATCCCACTTTTCAATGTTAGGTGTTTTCTTTGCCCATTTGATGTTCTTTAAAGGCAATTTTTGAGACATTGCCAGACCATACAGATTGTTAGCATCTAAGTAATTGATATAACTTGACGGTTTACTTTCATCAAAGGCTTCATCCATATACTTATTGTTAGCCACAGCCAGTTTATGACTGACCTGACACATACCTCCTCTCATTCCCTGTTCAACCATCTCATACATTTCTTTATCATGCAACTGTTCAATTTCAACACCTGTTTTCAACAACATAGCTTCCCAAGCGAAGTTAGGAAGCGTATAATAATGAGCGGGGTCCAAACCGTAGTATTCCATACATAAGTCTCTAAAGTTTTCAAAAACATCAGTCAATAATAAAACATCGGTTCTCAAATACAAATCGTGATATTGTCCTAATGTTCTAATACCGAAGTGTTTCCAAACCTTTTGTGCCCTTTCATAATCTTTGTCGTTGACATGTTCCTCACTTAATTTACTGTAGAACGCTTCTTTTGATGGTAAGTTTCTTTCAGTAAATCTGTCAAAACTATCAAAATAGTCATAAGGATAAATCCCCTTGTCAGTCAACAAGTCCAAATCTTCATCGGTTTTAACATATGGATTTCTAACACTGTATCTAAAATTGTTCTTCCAGTTCTCACGCCTTTTATCATCTTCATACTTACTCAACTTTACCAACTTATCCAACGAAGACGATAAGAAGCTAAAACTGTCCTTGAAACAAAGGTTTTTAAAACCAAAGGTTATGAACTTCTCGCTGTTCTGTGCGATGCAATCGATTTTAGCATTCTTGCTCAGTTCGTGTGCCTTATTGATGATTAAGTGAGCGTCATAGTTTTTAAGGTTATGAAGGAAGACTGGTATTTTGTAATATCTCATACTGAAAGCAAGATTACAATCATCATGAGCACAACCTCTATATTTACCTGTAAAATGGCAATGGTCGCGAACTTTCCGACGTCCGTCGGAAAGTGGTGCTTGGGTCTCCGACCCATCTCTAACTTTTTTATCCCCTTCCTGAAAGCCCTTTCCACAAACGAAACACTTAGTAGCAGTGTCAAAGTCTGTTTTATCGTCCTCAGTCATGATTATCTCTTTCACTTCCTTCATTTTCTTTATTACATCATCTCTGA